GCATCTCACAGAAGCTCTATCCAAAGTTCGACGAGCGCCGCTTCCAGTTCCCTGCAATCGGAAGAGCAGAACAAACGACAGTCATACAAACGGATATCGACTGCGTACCCAGCTGTAACATCGCGTCCGTTATCCATTTCTTCGATTCAGGCTAAAAGGGCTTCCGTTTCTCACCGTGTTTCACTTATAGCCTCTGTACCCGCTGAACAACGTCAAAATCTTGTTTCTGAGAGATTAAATTCTAGCCACGATACATTTCTCTCATACTTGGGATCGTTTATCGGAAGGCTTCATCTACAAAGCCAGTCTTCTCAAGATTTGCTGTCGTCAGTTAGGCAGTCGGTAACTGCTGGCCAAGGGTTATTGATTGTAGTCGAAGCAGTATGTGCTCACGACAGCCAAAGCGCCGACTCGTTGAACAATGCTCGGAACGCAATGTATGACAAAATCAGTAAATTGGCGTTGGCAGCTCGGGATATAATCAGCTCCTCAGGTGTTGATGAAGACGATGTTGTAATGGCTCAACAAAACGGGGGGTTACTAATGGCGGCCACAGGATGTGTTAAAGCTGCTGGAGAAGTAGTAGCAAAGACCAAGTTTGTGATTGAGCGAATCGGCGATTTCGAATTCGAACCAGTCGAAGGTCTCGGAATTAATGTTGCTTCGATAGGTGGCACAGTCGAACAAGTGCCACGAAGCCCAGGAGTTAATCTTGCCGTACCAGAGCAGCCTTCGTCGCGTCCTCCTCCTCCACCTCTAGTCATTCCCGATATTTACGAGAAACCATTACCAGAGATACCCCTTAGCTCCCCACCAGCAGCAGAAACTAACCGAATGTCGAATCGACTTTCGAATACCTCCATTCTACCTCCACTGCCAAAAATGGGTGCTCCTCTGATGAGCCAAGAAGATTATAGTCCTTCCGATCGTAACTCAACCAGTGATGGAGAATTTCAATCATATAGATCTGGCAGTATTGCAGTGTCTAGCACTGGAGCTAGTAGTAGTTACACACGCGATTCGGAGATGAGCATGGTCTCGCAAACTTCTACTAGGGCGACTACTCCAGATTTAACAGCTTACAAACCAAGAAGTCAGCCATCTTTGTCGAGTATCAGCATAGCCGAAAGCCAATCAACATTCGCCGATGATCCATACGATCTCGAATCGAGAATGCTTGAGAAGACGTTCGCACATGAATTACTACACAATAAGGAGGGACAAATTACCGGAGGTTCACTGGCGGCATTGGTAGAACGGCTTACTACACACGATTCAACACCCGACTCGATGTTTGTTTCAACCTTTTATCTTACTTTCAGATTATTCGCGTCTCCCGTTGAGCTTGCCACAGCTCTGGTTGATCGCTTTGAATATGTTGTCGAGAGTCCTCATATCGCAGGACCGGTAAGATTAAGAGTTTACAATGTATTCAAGGGCTGGCTGGAATCTCATTGGAGAAAGGTCTCCGATTACGCTGCGCTCTCCATTATCGAAACCTTTGCGGATGATAAACTTAAGGCTGCTCTTCCCGCAGCTGGCAAACGACTTTCAGAGTTGGCTCAAAAAGTATATTCTATCGATGGCCCCCTAGTGCCAAGGCTCATTTCCTCGATTGGAAAGACTAGCACATCTCTCGGTCAATACGTACCAGCCGATGCGCCAGTTCCTCCTGTTGCTGTAACAAAAAGCCAAGCCGCAGTTTTGAAGAACTGGAAAATGGGCGGTAGCAATCCCTCTATTCTTGAGTTTGATTCACTTGAACTGGCCCGTCAGTTAACTATCAAGGAGATGAATATTTTCTGCTCCATTATGCCAGATGAACTTCTTGGAGCCGCATGGACTAAGGCCAGAAAGGGCGGTTCATGCGCGGTAAATGTTAGAGCTATGTCGACATTGTCAACAGATCTTTCTAACCTTGTCGCCGACACAATCTTGCAACACGACGACGTTAAGAAGAGAGCCGTTATCATCAAGCACTGGATCAAAATTGCGCATGAATGCCTCAAGCTCAACAATTATGATTCGTTGATGGCGATCATTTGCTCGCTTAATTCATCTACCATTGTTAGATTGAAGAAAACTTGGGACCTGGTATCTCAAAAGCGAAAGGAGATGCTCAAGGGGCTACAAGCAATTGTGGAGCCAGAGAAGAATTACGCCTGCCTTCGACGCAGACTCCATGACCATGTCCCTCCATGCCTCCCATTTGTTGGTACCTACCTCACAGATTTGACATTTGTTGATGCTGGTAACCCATCCACAAAGCAATTGGCTGACGGCACATCTGTCATTAACTTTGACAAACACACTCGCACGGCTAAAATCATCGGCGAACTACAACGATTTCAAATCCCTTATCGCCTGGCAGAAGTTCCGGAACTTCAAGAGTGGCTCCAAGCTCAAATTGTTCACGTCAAATCCGCCTCGGATAATGAGAACGTTCAGCAATATTACCGAAAGTCTTTACTTTTGGAGCCACGCGATATCTTAGTTACGAAGCCCAGTCCTGTGGACTCGGCAGTTTCTTTCGGCTCTTTGCATGGAAAGGATAGATTTGATCTTTTTGGATGGACTCATTCAAGGGATAAAGCACAAACACCTATCTAAACATTCTTTGAAACTGTTCTCGACCTTCATCATTCGCACTTACTCCGGATTCGGAACACATTATACACACATCATCATGATATTCAGTTGATTTGATACCCCCCGCACTTTGAATAGCGTTTTAGCGAATGATCTTTTTACCCTTAGGAGTTATACACGGCGTTCTTGACAGGTGGCTCATGGAAGCTATGGCTGTTACTTTCGAATTGTTCCACATTACAGTTTTTACATACTTGAATACCATCACATTTGGGTATCAAGACTCGGCCCAGGGAAGGATAAAAAAAAGCTCTTCTTATACTTATAATTGTATACTGGTCGAATGCGAATTGTACATCATATCTTTTTCTAGCTCATTTTCCTTTCTTTTTGATTCTATCTTGTATTGTTTTTAATTCACAGGCTCAAAGGAATGAGTGAGCATTGAGGGTCATTAGGGTGTGTCTGGTCTGGTATGGTTGGGAAAGATGAGGTGGATGGAGTTGTGGAATAAGAAAAGGATATCATGTATTTCGGTGTGGGAACTCTAGGTGGTGGATTCAGATTATTGATAGGGGTTGTTTGTATGACACCCAAAGGCAATTGGTATAGGGATGAGCTCTCGCTCGGCTTGTTGTGGTCCTGATTAAGTCATACACTGGAATTTGTATTTTGACCGGTGGAATGAGTGGAGAGGATTTTTTTAGATGAGGATTCATGGATATGATTGGATGAGGATGGCGGAAATGGGTTGGGGGAGGAACGGATGGGTGGATGGACGGACAAGAGTTAGATACCAATACCAGGCGGCAAAATCCAAGGCAAGATAAGAAGATATGGCCGGGAAAGAGAAATGTTAATGAAGATCATGACCAACATATCATGTTATGTATGCTTTTTGGTGATGAATTTGTGTGTGTGTGTGTGTGATGGTGACGCGATCAATCGACCAATCAATCAATTCATGTTCGTGTTCGTGTTTTCCAAAGAAAGAAAATGAATGTAGATTAATGAATGGGATGAACCTTGAATGAATGATAGAAAAAAAAAGTAGTAGTAGTAAAAGAAATGGAAGGAAGAGAGGGAAAAAAGGATAGATGAGTCCGGAGGATTGATGTTCCTGGTGTGTGCATTAGCATTAGGGTCGCGGTGCGTGTTCGGAGGCCGATTTCCAGGGACCGACGGGGCTAGGGGGCCGAAGCGTTTTTAATTGTTTATGATTATTTTGGAGAGTGGGGTTTGGGTTTTTTTGAGTTTGGTGGGTGGGTGGATGGATGGTTTTTTTAATGGGGAGGGGAAGGGAAGGGAAGGGAAGGCAAGACAAGGTTGGGAACTTGAGGGCGAATTGGAGGGAGGGAGGGATGGATGGATGGATGGATGGATGGATGGATGGATAGATGGGATTCAAGGGAAGGGGGGTTTGAGAGGTGTGTGTATAGAGGGGTTGGTTGTACTGGCTGAGACTGGGCGAGATGAGTGTGTATTGTGTAGAGTTTGAGGAGTAAAAAGAGTTTACGCGTTTACACTGGACGAGATTGTACTGCTCCGCATGGAGAAAAGGTTCATGAATCAGAAACATGGAGAGTATTTAGTGTTACTGTTGTACATACATACACACACACACACACACACACACACACACACACATACATATACACATACACACATAAGATACGCTACATGCATTCATCCATTCAGTGAAGAAAGCAAGAAACTGTGTATTCCGAGGTGATAGGATAGGTGGTGTGTGTCTACGTGTCTTTGCAGTTTTGTGTGCCAGCCACAGCCATCATAGATGAAGATCCATGGATCCCGACGATTGAGAGAGGCGACGGAGGCTGAGAGAGGATCAATGAAGGAGATGGGTGGACTTTTGAGAACAATATAGCGAGATGACATTGTTCTTTTGGCTTTGTAGATGAATTGTGGTTGAATCGAATGCAAGCAGACCCCAACCTATCACCATTCAATGATCTTCAGTGGCAAGAGAGAAAGGAATTGTAATTGCCATTGCCATTGCCAATAACCTCTTCACACATCTATACATCCATCTCCTTCTCATTAGTATACTATATAGTAATATAGGTAGTCATTCACCTGACAATTGATAACTCATTGACCCGTGGACCCCACCAACCCACCAACACAGATCGCAGGACAATCCAAGTGTCCGAAATCTCTGCAAATCACGTGTCAGCATTCTTATCTCGTACCTCAGCTTAGACTCCACTCTCAACGCTAGTCCTAGGCGGGGTTCCTCAAAGACAAGGGTAGGTAGAAAAAAGTAAAGAGAGGGGGTGGGTGATGGATGCTGAGTGAGTGTGGCCTTTCAAGAAACACTCGGCCAATCTTCTCCTCTCACTTATTAAAGACAATAAGAAAAAGCTTCTCTCCTCTTCTTCCCTTTCCATCTTTCTTATTACTCTCTCATCTCAATACACGCACACCGCTTCACATCTTCTCTTCCTCTTTTTGACTACAAATACATTCAAGAGCTCACTTTGAAAATCGATTCAGAGTGTTCATTTTATTTCAATTTACTTTCTTCTCTTCTGTTCTCTCCATAGAATCGAATAGAAAAAGAGTTTGACCAATCAATCGATAAATCTCCGACTTCGCTGTCTAGTTCCATCCTCTAGCACGCAATCCGTGGTCCGTTTAAATACTTCGACTTCACCCATCTTTTACCTTTGAACATCATCATCACATTTCAATACCGCAAATATGGTTCAATCGTGAGTGTTGTCCATCTGCCATCTATCTCTACAGCTATTGACCACGTTCATTATAGATCCGTTCTTGGTTTCCCTCGCATGGGAGCTCTCAGAGATCTCAAGAAAGCTACTGGTAAGATTTGCTACCTCACGATGCTACCCCACATTGAATACTAACAAATATCCATAGAGGCATACTGGGGTCAAAAGATCTCTCAAGATGATCTCCTCGCTGAAGCCAAGAGACTCCGTCTTGCTCACTGGAAGATCCAAAAGGATGCCGGTGTCGATATCATCCCATCCAACGACTTCGCTCTCTACGATCAAGTTCTTACCCACATTCAAGACTTCGGTGTAAGCATTCCAATTTCGTCTGCGGATCTAAATGTAACCTTTCACTAACTCTTCTCTTTTACAGGCTACCCCAGAAAGATATACCAAGCATGGTCTCGACCCAATCGATCAATACTTTGCCATGGGACGTGGTCACCAACGTGATGGCGTTGATGTTCCATCCTTGGAGATGGTAAAGTGGTTCGACTCTAACTACCATTATGTCAAGCCAACTCTCCAAGACAACCAATCTTTCAAGCTCACCTCAGACCCAAAGGCTGTTCGTGAATTCAAGGAGGCCAAGGATGCTGGTATCACTACCCGACCAGTCTTGGTTGGTCCAGTTTCTTTCCTCCACCTCGGAAAGCCAGACCGTGGACAGTCCGTTGACCCAATTGATCTTTTGGACAACCTCCTCCCAGTTTACATTGAGCTCCTTAAGCAACTTAAGGCTGCTGGTGCCGAGACTGTTCAAATTGATGAGCCAACCCTCGTCTTCGATCTTCCATCCAAGACCAAGGCTGCTTTCAAGCCAACTTACGAGAAGCTCGTCAGCTTAGGTGATGAGATCCCAAAGATTGTCTTCGCCACATACTTCGGTGACATCGTTCACAACATTGATGCTCTCCCAACTGACATCTATGCTGTTCACGTTGATTTGGTCCGTAACCCAGAGCAATTGGACACTGTCATCTCGGCTTTGGGATCCAAGACCATCTTGTCCGCTGGTGTTGTCGATGGACGTAACATCTGGAAGACCAACCTCAAGCGTGCTATTGAGACTGTTGAGTCTGCCATTCAAAAGCTCGGAAAGGACCGTGTCATTGTTGCCACTTCCTCTTCCCTTCTCCACACCCCACACACTCTAGCAAGCGAGAAGAAGCTTGACCCAGAAATTGCTGATTGGTTCTCTTTCGCTTCCGAGAAGGTTGTTGAAGTTGCCATCATCGCTAAGGCTGTTACTGAGGGACCAGCTTCCGTCCGTGCTGAGCTCGAGGCTAACGCCAAGTCCATTCAAGCTCGTGCTTCTTCCAAGAGAACCAACGACCCCAAGGTCAAGGAACGTCAATCCAAGATTGTCGAGAAGGATTACAACAGAATCTCTGAGTTCCCAGAACGTATTGCTCAACAACAAAAGGCTTTGGGTCTTCCTCTTTTCCCAACCACCACGATTGGTTCTTTCCCACAAACCAAGGAGATCCGTATCCAACGTAACAAGTTCACCAAGGGTGAAATCACTGCTGAGGAGTACGAGAAGTTCATTGAGAAGGAGATCCAAGACGTTGTTAAGGTTCAAGAAGAACTTGACCTTGACGTCTACGTTCACGGTGAGCCAGAACGTAACGACATGGTTCAATACTTCGGTGAACGTCTCGATGGTTATGCCTTCACCACCCACGCATGGGTTCAATCATACGGTTCCCGTTGCGTTCGTCCTCCTATCATCGTTGGTGATATCTCTCGCCCAGCACCAATGACTGTTAAGGAGTCCAAATACGCTGTCTCCATCTCCAAGAAGCCAATGAAGGGTATGTTGACTGGTCCAATCACTTGTTTGAGATGGTCCTTCCCTCGTGATGATGTTCATCAATCCGTCCAAGCTGAGCAACTTGCTTTGGCTCTCCGTGATGAGGTTGTTGATCTCGAGGCTGCTGGTGTTTACGTCATTCAAGTCGATGAGCCAGCTCTTCGTGAGGGTCTTCCCCTTCGTCGTGGAAAGGAGCGTGAGGCTTACCTTGACTGGGCTGTTAAGTCTTTCAGACTTTCCGTCTCTGGTGTTCAAGATTCCACTCAAATCCACTCTCACTTCTGTTACTCCGAGTTCCAGGATTTCTTCCACGCCATTGCTGCTCTTGACGCTGATGTTCTCTCCATTGAGAACTCCAAGTCTGATGCTAAGCTCCTCAAGGTCTTTGTTGACGAGGCTTACCCACGTCACATTGGTCCAGGTGTTTATGACATTCACTCTCCTCGTGTTCCATCCGAGCAAGAGATCAAGGACAGAATTGAGGAGATGTTGCAATTCCTCAAGCCAGAGCAACTTTGGATTGATCCTGATTGTGGTCTTAAGACTCGTCAATGGGCTGAGACTAAGGCTGCTTTGACCAACATGGTCAACGCTGCCAAGTTTTACCGTCAAAAGTATGCCAACAAGGCATAAATTTCTTTTCCCATCCATATTTTAATAGGGGATGTGATTTGAAGATGATGTCATGAGCTTTTTTTCTTTTTTATTTATTATAATGTCTGCGGTTCTTTAACCAATGGGAACGACTTCAACATCGGCGTTTCTTGGTTGGGGCATTTAAGACAAAAAGCGATTTGTTATTGTGAGCGTTGCTTGGGACTTTTCAACAGCATAGGGCGGTAGTCCCTCGGTGGGTAACAGATGATCCATCAACCGGACATCTTGGTGGCGTGGCGCATGAATGACATTTGAAATATGATGGGAAATGAAAAAAAAGGGGATGGGGATTTTGAAACTCTTGTGACGTTAAACCGACTTTACTATCTTGATGATAGTCAAGGAGGACGACAATGAGTGGTTATTTGGTGGAGGATGGTAGATATGATAAAAGTAGTAAAATACACCCTCTTCAACCGGGAAAAAAAAAACTGTCATTTGTCATTTGTGAAGTGATGTGATGTGATGTTTCTTGTGTTATCTCGTGTGTTGGGTTTCTCGTCATTTTTTGAGTTAAAATTTCCGTTTGGGACGTTCTTGGGGCTTAGGTACGCTGAACTCAGTTAAGGAAACTCGAAAGGTATTATTTCTCACTCTTCGGCCAAGTCAAATGCTAACATTTGTAGAACCTTCTGGGATGTTGAATGTGAATGTTGTTGAATTATTTTTGGTGATTACTTTCCTTCTCTTCTTTGATCCTCTTGCCGTAGACTTCTTAGGCATGCTTCTCAAGCATATTTCTTATTATCTCACCATTTAATAAGTATACTGCTAAGAGATAGTCCACCTAATTATGAAGAAAATCATGACTTTCGTCTGATACACACACATATATATATATGCATATAGTCTTCAACCTTACCTACCTAAGAATCTATCTAACTAATTCTCATTCCAAGACCTGGGAAACGAAATTCCAAAGGGAAAAAAAAAAGGATAAGGGGGGAATGGGTGTTTTTGTGACGAGGATTATATGATGAAGTTTAAGTGTGGGAGGGTCCACGGGTATGTGGGAGGAAGTTGAGGGAGGAAAGTTGAGGGAGCTCTTCTATAGAAAGAAGTTTATGAATGGATTTTGGATTTAGTGTAAAAAGAAAATACCTAGGTAGGGTCTTGAATCTTGAATTGAAGATTCCTAGAGACTGGGCTGAGCCGCTTTTTTTGATAGATATACTAGGTAGGATTTTGTGTAAGAAGAAGAAGAGGATTCTTAGAAGATGGTTTGAAAGATGGTTTGGATAGGGGGGGGGGGGGAGTGATGGAGGGGTGAGAGGGTGGATTGGATTGGATTGATAGGGGAAAGTAGGTAGGTATCGAAAGTAGGTATAGTATGGCGGATGACGAACTTTTCTTTCTTTCACCAGATAAATAAAATAGGATAAAATAAAATGGGATGTAAATAATCGGTTCGGATAATTTGTATTTGAAGTCGAGAGGTAGCTAATATTGGGTATTTTATGGATGTTTAAAGTTGCTGGTGATTTTTGATCTTGGTCATGGATTTTCATGGAGAGTAGGGTTAGGGTTATGGTATGGTTCTGAAAGTTGGGAATATAAGCGAGGATTATATGTAATTTTTTTTGGGCGGGCTGGGTTGATTGGAGTTGTGGGGTGGTGTTTGGTGTGGTTTTTTATGGTGAGGTCGCGGATGAGGTCGCGGATGAGGTTTTGATGTCTTTGTTTTTGAGTTTGAGTTTGGGTTTGGGTTTGGGTTTGAGTTTGAGTTTGGGTTTGGGTTGGAGTCTGGGTTTGCGGGCTTGGAGGGCTGCGGGAATGGTGATTGGAGGGATGGGGAGGGGGATGGTGGATGAGAGGGATGGGGGATGGGGGAATGTGAGAGGGATGAAGATGAGGATAGGGGTGGAGATGGGAATGGGGATGGTGGATGAATTTTGGGATACGCTAGCATGTGTAATGAATCTACTTACTATGTGGCTTTTAGCTCCAACACAGTTAGAGACAGAATGTCCGAGGTGAAAATGGAATGGAGATGAAATGAAGTACACAAGCAAGAAAGAGATTTTTGAAAGTCGGGATGCCGAGAGAGCTGGAGGTGTTGTGGATTGGATTGAAATTGAAATTGATCGCAAAGCGGGAGGCGTACTTATCTTGTGGTTTGGGTTATTAGGGTTGGGATTATAGTTGGGATTAGGGTTAGGGTTGGGATTGGGGTTGGGAGGAGTAGAGACGGGAATTGAGTGTTGGATGTGGGATGTGGATTGCTAGAGTGGAAATGCTAGATGGGAAGGAGATGGGTTTACGTTGTTGTTGTTATTGTTATTGTTATTGTTATTGGTTTCTTTATATTCATCTAATGATCTAATGAGGGTCACTGTCATTTACATTCATTGTAGTTCGAATGTGATGATATCCTTTGTTTATCGTTCATCTAATGTTGTCTCGTTACTATCATGGCCTCTCAAAGTCTCCTTTCCTTGCCCTTTGCCACATCTAGCCACTAGTACGTCGGAACTTTGCAATATTATGTTATGGATGTCTACATCCTACATTGCTTTTTGATATCTCACATGATTGCTCCAAGACGAGTGTACTCGTGTTTTCGGGGATTTGGATTGAAGGAGCGGTGTTTATATACTGATTTGAGGGACGTTAATGAGTGAGACAAGGTTCGGGAGTAGGGAGGAAGTAGGTCACAAGAAGATTTCAGAGGAGTGAGAGTGAATACTATCTGCTCTATCGTAATTTTTCCCTTTCATGTACGTATCGATATTCATGACATCTCTTTATTTACGTTTCGCATCTTTTATTTCAATCTTAGTAGGGCTTTAGATTACTGTTCCAATTTTAAAAGTGAGTACCTGCTATCTACCCACCTATCCCGCTAATTTCATCTTGCTTCACTCCTTGATTTCGAAAAATTTGAAGAGAAAAAATAATACAAAGTTGTTTAAAGATCGATGAGTCTTGAGTTTTGTGGAAATTGTGGATTGTGCAAACATATAGATCTGTAGGTGTGTTGCTGATTTCAAGGTCGGTAATATGGTTTGTGAACGTAGTAAGAAGAATTGGGAGGTTGAGGAATAGAAAGAGCCAGCGATGGAGTAAGCGAGAAGAGCTGGGTTTGTGATTGAAAAGGTAAGACATGGGAAGGGAAAGTTTTGACACTGGTTTATTGTCGTTTGGTCAGTTTGTTGTTATATTATCATCTGAATCGCTTTTATAGGGATTGCTGTTGTGATACTGTACTGGTAGGCTGATCTGATGTTCCCTTCCAGTATAATTCTTTATCTAGAAATTAAATTGTCGGAATACTTTAATACCTGTGTAGAACTTGTATACAGTGTCTGGTACTTCTGTCAAGTCTAACTTTCATAAACTCCATCCACTTCTGAGTTTTGTAAGGTTAAAAGCTAACAGAGAAGAGTGTGTTTAGATATTGACTCCGTAGGCCTACCTACCCAGAGAAGATGCCCGAGTAGGCGAAAGCGGGGTACTGGAGGAAGGAGGAGAGGTACTTGACTTGAGGGGTCATAAGGATGGGCTTGCGTAAGGAGTGAATACAGCTTACTTATCTTGATTCTCTCGTGCGACTGAGAATGCATTTCCACCTAACTCTTTAAAGTGAATGTGGAGGCTATAAAGATCGAGGAGTCCCCAACTTTAGGATCCTTATGGTTGGGAATTGGCGAACTATGCCCGACAATGGAGTAGTGAATTCTGGGCTCTGAAAGACGATTCAAGAATTGAAAAAGAATGTATTTGGTGAGTGATAGAGGGATTGATTTGAATGTTAGAAATAGTGGTAAGAGTCAAGTGTTCGTGCTGTTACTTGTGGTTTTTGGTTGTCGTTGGTTTTACTGTCCTTATTTTCGTCTGGAGATTGAAGTTTGAATAGTTGCTGTTGTCATTTATTCAGCGCGTGTTAAGTAATCCCGTTTCTTTACGCGAGGTATATCTTTCTATTCCTCTACCGATAAATTTGATATTAGCTCGGGGGTTGAGTATTATATCTATATTAGATATACCTCTACACCATCCCAATTCTCACACAACAAAGCTCATGGGGCATCAATTAAACCGACGTTGTATACCAGATAATCAGAAATGAGTAGATATTAGCATATTTATACATCAGTTTGAGGAGGGTGTGTATAAGGATAGGCGTGAAACAAATGAATGCGGGGCGATGACCTGGGAGAATCAGATTTCAAGAGATTCTCAGTAAAATGATTGAGTGAATTCATTCACTTTTTCATTTCGCAAATTTTTTTGTTTACAATTGTGTTTACCTTTACATGGCACATGACTAGGTACCCTCCTAGAATCCTACGATCAGTAAAGTATGGCCAGGCAGGGGATGAAAAATTGACGAAGTCATAAGAATCAAACTTCTGAGATCTCTGGTCATTAGGGGTATTCTACTCGGAATTTACGACCCAGTCTATTTCTAATTGTGGGATTTATGGGTAGGAGTTGTGGCTTGCGGATGCGGTGTGGACAGGATACTGGTGGTAGGACGCCAGAATACGGAAGACTGCGATGCAGTGGATAGAGAAAGCAAATATAATTCTGGTTGGATTTGCATTGTTGTCTTTGCTCTTAATTTGTTCTTTCTTTTGTTGTCATCGATTTACTAATGTTCTAGGAAGCTACTCTCGTTTTTCCATACATAGTCGTCTGATATCTCCTCCATCTCCATCGCTTAACCCCGTAATTCCCTTAAATCTTCACGGAAACTAGTGGAACTTAGCATCGTGATTTTCTCCAGGCTCTTCACAATGGAGATTCAAGCAGACCATGGGTTTGTGAGTGAAGTGTTTTTGGTTACATATTTGAAAGTTGGAAAGGAGATCAGGTGCTATTTACATATTAAATACCAATGAGAAGTAAGAAGGTAGATGTCAGGCAGGGCGGGGCAAGGCCCGGAGATGAGGGGTGAAGGATGGGTCTCAGAGTGGAATGAGTGAATAAACCTTCATCTCTTGTGCATGCGCTCAAATCCATATTACGTTGCACATGACCTGGCCTGAGTCACTAGGACTCATGAGGTTCTTGGGACGCAAGACGAGGTTATTTAAATCTTCAGGTATTCCGTAGTTTCTGGATCATCAAGGTCGCAACTAAGATTTGGGCAGAGTATAATGGCTGCCTGTTTCTGGTCGTGATAAAACTCTTGAAGTGACACGGAATGCCAGTGTGAATTCAGAAGCAAGGAAGAGGAAGAGCAAGAGATGGAACTATGGCTCCAGGGCTTTGAGACATTCATCATTGTCATTGTCATTGATTTCATCTGTTTTATATCCATCAATTCCCATCTATGCCGTCTGATATCTGCTGTTGTTTGTTGCCATTTTTAAAACCGTCGGGTGTAAGGGTAGAAATGGACGGTATGGGAGAGCTTTATTTTACTGGAATTTCAGCCAGAATCTCTTCAATACTTCTATTGGATCCATGCTTGTGTCTCATCGGCTCTGAAAAGTTTTCGTGTGAGAGTTTTGGTAGGAGTTCACAGGCAGAAATGTGATTTATATTACCATTAGTGAAGTGAATGTGCTTGTTGGTTTTGATCTTAGTTTTAATAGACTGCAGATATATCCAGAGGATACCAAACATGTGTTTCCGACGTGTTTAGTGCTTGCGGAAATGGAGGTCCTTCAAGGTAAAGTCTTTGACGAAACACAACTTTCGCCTCACTCTTAGATAAAGTAGCCATGTATTGTGAAAAAATTCGTCCGTTTTCGGTGCGGATAAAAAGATATGATATAGCGGGGTGAGCAAAAAACTAGTGAGCGGTTGGGCTCAAGGTGTCTAGATGCAAGCGAATACGATGTACTAGTGTTTCGCGTCCTTCGCACCCTTGTGAATATACACAGTTAGGTTTTTATGTATCTTTCTAATCCAACGCAAGCCTATAGATACAATTTAATAGAATCTCAAAACAAAGAGTTGAAGGTGGTGGGGTATGCATTTTCATAATCATGAAACCGTTTGGATGTTCAGCTAACAGCAGTATTGAAGACATTTGATCACTTTTCACGTAGTCAAACGAAGGCCAAAAAGCTTGAGCAATGATCGCGTTTCATTGCTATTTCAAAACGAGTGGCTAGGATCTTTGGTCCAAAATCTTTCAATCACTTATCCAAGTTATCCATATTTCATTATCACTTCGAAAGTTCATCATCCAGTTTCGCCACGCTGCCAACAAACAAAATAATCGACACACCAAACAAGATTTCGATTTGCCTTTTGGACCAAGAAAATGTTGTATGTTAATCACATCATATCCTACTTCTTGTTTGTTCCAGCTTGACCGGCATTTCCACCACCAGTACCTTGACCTGCTGCGGCTCCACCAGCGTTTGCGTTGCGGTCTCCGGCTCCTTGAGCGCGTGCGGCAAATCCTGAAGAGGACATATCTTTACCTCCTTGGGCCTGTTATTAGATGTGTTAGCTTGGGCTGCAGTGAGATGCTAAAGAGACCTTTGAGGAGAACACATAGGCAGATAGGAAGAGAACGAGAGACGTACTTGACTTGATTGGATGCGCGAAGCATCATCTTTGGTCATCTGGATGGGCATGATGACGAAATTTTGGGTTTGTTGGGGGTAGACGTTTGAGGCTTAAACTGTTTCGTTGAGTGGTCAGTAATCCATAATAAACACAACCGCTTTTTCAACAGGGATAAGAACATAATCTACAGAATGAAAGGTGTTCAAAGGGTTTATAAAGTAGGAATTATGATGATGAACAGCCAGTTACTCACAGTTTTGGCTGGCTGTATCTGTGTATGTATTTGTGCGAATCTTGTTGACTTGATGAGGAAATACAATTGAAGAGTGGGACAATCTCCAACATATATCCTCAAACTCAGGGCTTTGGGAGCAAGAGCTCCGCGTTCACATGCTGGAAAAGGAATAAAATGTATGGGGTGTATGTTACCAATTAGGCTCAATGACTGCATACATCTCAATTCATGGAGAGCGAATGGACACCCACCCACCACTTTCCTTCAAGATTTGCAGGTGATCATAACGCATGATACCGTCGGTGAATGTTGCAGCCCGTCTCAAATCATTGGATTTTTCACTGCGAAATTGCATCAGAGTATATCGGTAAGTGTTGTTTGCTTTACTGCATGCTTTTTAGATTAGAAATCAAGCAGAGCTGTCGGCAAGTCCCAGAATTCGTTGTGTATTTGATTTAAATCCTTACGGCTAGCTACTCCATGAGGCATTATTCGGAGGTTGAAATATTCAATTAATCGAATCCGAATAGTTGAAAGGGCAAAGTCCGTTTGCAAACGGGAAATGCCCAATAATCAACGATTTAAGCGAAGGTTCTCCATCCTTCCCGTCATTATGCTTGATTACAGTATCTGATTAACTTTCGACGAAAAGCAATGAGCGCAGTATGGCATGACTTTTGCTGAGTGCACTGCATATTCTGTGAGGTGTTACTTATGACTATTGGTTATCAGTACCACTGAAATTAGTAGATGCGGGGTAATCATGTGTGTCGTAAGTTTGGGGTGACGACATGTAAAGTTGACCAACATTTCTCCACTAAATCGGGTTGCACACATGTTGCGAAAGCAGGATTCTCTGAGCTTGGTCTTTTTGATGTATATTCAAAAGTGCGTGGATAGTTGGATCTCGGGGCGTTTGACTATTCGTTATCAACATTCTGGGCCTTGTCAAAAAAAGATGTCGCTTCCCGGAGTCCGTATGGGTAGAAGAAAATCCATGGACCGTCCGTGAAGGTCTAAAGATGGAAAAGAAAAGGTTTGCTTTTTGGAAAGATATATGCCGATCAATGCCATGCATAGTGTTGATGCCTAGTTACATACATGTAGATTATGCAATTCGTAAAATGAAAGAAGGCATTGGGAAGGATACAATGAAATGAGAGCAAAATGGAAGTGAACATGCTGCAACCCTCTATCCAACGTCAAAAATTTCAGACAATAAGGAGTCCGACAAGTTTCATCAGTTTCTGGAGATTTTGAATCAATAGCCCGCAAATGGCATGTTGAAACTTCGGTCATGCTCTTTACTTTTCTCGTCTTGGAATTTTGGCATGACTTGTATTGAGAAATACGAGGCGTTTGCAGGTGTATTAAATAAAATACAAAAGGTTCCAATGTCATAAAGATAAGATGATGCCACTCCAGTGGCGTACCAAGAGTAGAACCACTAAATCAGTGCTACGATCAAGCCCAAGACTCCCATGGCAGACCCAGGCTTGACTTTTCCGACACCCGAGTTTACAGTTGGTGCAGTACCACTTGCAGAACTAGTAACAGATTCAATGGCCCCGACAGGCTTCAAGCTTGAAGAACTTGGGAAAGACGTAGCTACGGTAGCACTAGATGTCGTTCTTGTTTCTAAATCTGTTGCGCTGCTACTAGAGGTTCTAGTATTTGATGATGTTGCAGATGCGCCCTCGACTGTCGTTTGCGATCCATCTGGCGCTGTATACACGCCAGTATAGACATTTCCAGTGCCTCCTGCGTCATCTGCATATTCCCCTATAAGATTAGTTAGCTTCATTCGTTAATATAAATCTTGCAGAACATGGTATTTCCATGTCGGAGAGCTCACCAGTTTCTTCATTCAAACAGAACAATGATCCATCGGTATATTCGTAGCATGTCTCATCGTCATAACAAGAGAGAGTATCACGCGTCTTTAGAATCAACTCCTCCTCGCCATCGTCATCGTCGCCGCCGCAAGCAGATCCTCCAACAGCGTTGCATTCACCTTGGCTTTGCATATCATAGCATACCTGTAAAGCTTTTGGGTTGTTTGCATATTCGGCACAAGGATCTGAAGATGTGCCTGAAGAGCCGTTTGTTGTCCCTCCTGTTGTACTACCACTCTCGGCCCAAGAAATTGCGTTCGACGTTGTACACGTGGTTGAAGCAGCCATAGTTAAAGGCGAGACGACACATAACACTGTGATTATAGATAAAATCATGGTGGTAAACGGAAAATATAATGGTCTTGATTCGAACAGATGTGATTTTGTCCGAGAAAAATGGATAGAATTAGAAACAAAAACCTTAGAAAATGAGAGTATGTATAAGAAATTATTCTTCGAATTAAAGACGCATTTCTGAGGACTGGAGATGACACCGCGTTCTTAATTATCCATAATGGAGACCGACGGCAATACATGCATTCTCTCTGAGAAGCAAGAAGACTATGCAAACCAAGATTTTATTGGTTTATATACGAGAGAAAAGCCATTTTCTATGATCATGCACAAAGATCCCGTATAAGAATTCGTCGATATTGGAGAAATCGGTGAATTGTGGTGGTTTTTTCTCGGAGTGAGCTTTTCTCTGCCTATTTCATGGTGTACATGTTGGAAATTCGCTTCTTGGCAATAGCTAGCTCGAGACTCCCAGAGTAGTCATTGGATTGAGATATCAACATAGTTTCAGATTGCCCAGCTGTGCTTGTGCACTTGGCAACAATTTACTGACTATCAGGCGTCCAAACTTACACATAGATAAATATAAATAATCGAGCCGTAGATGTTCAACGCCTCTTTGTTTATCGGCTGAATTGATTAGCTAGCGAGCTTCCACGAGTTACCGTCTATGGTCTCGATTTGTCCACCACTGTTGAGGCTGAAGAGTTTAAGCTCAATATGAAAACTTGGCAATAAAAACTAACTCTTTGAAATATGGGAGCCTGGCGAGCAAAGAAGAGCCCCAAGAACGTGACTCGAAGAGCCTCCAAATAGGCCGGGATTGAATTTCACGTACGGTTTTCTTTGGTAGCTGCTCCTTAATACGGCGACAATACTTCCGATCTCTTAATGGATGAATGGAATTGTGGCTATCTATTGGGGTTGTGATGATAGAAATGAGGTGAACGCGATTTCCGCGCGAAAGTCGGAGGGTCAGGTGGATCACCAGTGGGTGCACGGACTGACGAAACACGCGCTTTTTTGAAAATACCCTCAAAATAAACAATTCAAATTATAAATAATTAATTCAATTTTGAAATACTATTAAACACATAATTAACTAAATATAAGATTATTTTTATTAATAAAAAATTATATAAAAAATATAATTTATTAAAAAAATCAATATTTTATAAAGAATTCAATTAATATTATATAAAAAAAATATATATTTTATTTTATTTTAATTAGGTATATTAAAATCTATAATTTATTAATAATTTTAAAAAAAATATTTATTAGAAAAAAATATATATAAATAAATTTGTAAGTTTTTAAAGAATCTAAAGGGATTTATATTAATTAATAAAAATACTTATAAGATATTTATTTTATTTTTTGAAATAAATTATAAATCAAAACTTATAAAATAATAATTGAATATTTTCAATTAAGAATAAAATAATATTTTTTTTAAAAAAATTTAAAGAGATTTATAAATTAAAATTAATATTACAAAACTATTTATTTAGAAAAGCTTTTTATTAATATAAATTATAAAAAGTATTAAAAGATTGGGTGGAAGAGGCCTCTGTATTGACTATATTACTACACGTGTAAGCATATTAATCCTCTTATAGTATTATATGAGGGGATCAATATATCTATCTATAGTTTGTCTAATCTAGCCTGTTTAGGTAATTGTATTACTAATCACTATACATGTTTAGCACTAATAACTTCTATTCCTTTTAATATTTCCTTATAGAAGTTATTACCTTTAATTTCCCTGATCTTTTGTACTTCTATAATCTCAATTCTAGCATATTCTTGAATCTTTTGAATGTTATTTTTGCTAAAGATTTAGTTATTTTATTTATTATTATATTTAATGTATTAATGTAATTGATTATTATCTTTTATTTTTTAATAAGATTTCTAATAAAGTGATAGTATATATCAATATATTTTGATTATTTATATAAATACAGATTTTTGATTAGAGTTATTACTTCTTGATTATTATTTAATAATTGAATAGTATTTTTATATATAGATATATATTTTGTCTTTTTAAGATCTTTGAGCATTTGAACTAATTATCTTCTTTGCTTAAAGAATATTACTATTAATATATATTTGAACTTAATATTTGATATTACTATTAAATTCTGCTTTTTATTAGCCTATAATATTAATTCTTTATAAAATATAATAACTCCTCTAAAAATACTTTTTTGATTATATTGATTATTTGTTCAATCTATATTAATAAAAACTTTTATAATATTTACTAATAAATTATACTCCTTTATAATTTGATATTATACTCCCTTAGGCCTATATTTGAGTTTCTAAGTAATTGTAGCTCTTAAATATTATATTAAGTTTTTTATTCTTATTTTATAGTATTTTGTTAGCTTTGTTATATATTGTAACAATCAATTTAATACAAAGGAGATATCTGATTTTATATATATTATTGAATAAATAAGGCTATTTATAGCTTATTGATATTTAGTAATATTAATTAGTTTATTGTTTTCTATAGCTAATTGTAGATATAAGTAATCAACAATGAATATTTTCTTAATATAATATTAAGTGTATAAGATTCCGAATTTTGTAAGTATAGTTTCCAGATATTCTTCCTAATTTAATATAAATAATCTATTTACTTAATGTCTTATAATCCTAATATCTAGAATCTTGCTAATCTCCTTTAGGTTTTTGATATTGAAATATGAGAAGAGTATTATAAAGAATTAATTAAATTGATCTTTTAAAATCGAAGAAGCGATTATATTATTAATATAAACTAATAGATTAAATTATTGAGTAGTGTATATATACAAATACGGATTAATAAGACTTTAAATAAAGCCTTAATTGATTAATTCGGATTTTAAAAGTTAATTCTAATTTTGTTCAGTTTGTTTAAAGTTATATAAACTCTGTAGTATATATAAGACATATCCATTTGATATATTGATTCTTTGAGATAATATGAGATATATCTCTTTTTTAAAATGAGATTTTATAAAAGTATTCTTTATATTAAAATATTAGTACTTCAAGTTTTCCTTTGTAATAATTATTAAAAATAAGCAAAATATATTGAATTGTATTATAAAAACAAAGGTTTTATTATAATCTTTTCTAAAAACTTAATTAAAACCTTTTACTATTAATTATACTTTGAATCTCTTAATTTTATTATCTTTCGTTTTTATTATAAATATTTATTTTATTGAAATAAGATTCCCTTTTTTTGGTAGAATATATTTTTTTTAAGTATTATTTTTAATTAATAAACTAATCTTTTTTTAAATAATTTACTTTTATTTTTTATTATATTTAGAATCCAAGACTGCCTAGTTATATATAGTAGAAATAGAGATTCCTAGAATTTATTTTACAAGGAAGACTATATTCTTATCTATAGAATTCTTTAAAATCATTTAAAAACTTTCGAATACTTTTGTCTTAACATTCGGATTAATTCTTGATATAAGGGATATAGAAATTATAATATGTTTAATAGTATTTTTATTTAAATCTACTAAAAGTATTACTATTATTATTTTTATTAGTTTTTGGATATACTTATCTAGCTTATTATTATCTCATTTGTATTTTTGAAAAAAGTATTTTTTAGAAGGATTTATATTTATAGATATAATTAGGGTTTTTATCAAAAATTTATTAATTTCAAATATTATATTTAACATCTCTATTTCTTTTGTTTTTGAAAATAGAATTAGTTCTATAAATGAATTAATCTTTATAATATTCTTTTTATTATTTTCATTAAATTTTTAAATATTATTGATTTTGAATATATTAGGGATTACAATTTTCAGGGATTTAGAGATAGTAATATCTTATAGAAACTTAAATAGGGATTTTTATACTTTTTATATTTTATAAGATCTATTTTTAGATTTTTTATTAAAAATAATATTTTTTATATCTTGAGGTTCTAATACAGAATTTTTTATTCTCAAGTCTAAATCTTCTTCTCTTTTGGATTTGTTTATAGTTATTTAACTTACTTGTATAATATAATCTAGTTTTAATAAATATATTCTGATATATCTATTAATTATATATAAGTATTCTATAAAGATGCCTATTTGAGCTATATTTTGTAATTTATTATACTATTAATTTTTTGGGATTGTTTTTAAATTAATATATATATAATATTTGCTTCCCCATATTCTATAATAGTTAATATCTGGAGTTAATCTTATAAATATTTCGATCAGATTAATAATATTGTTATCAATAATCGATCCAGTATTTGTTCTATTCCTACAATATATATTATATTCAATAACTTTATTTCAGAATTTCAATAGCAATCCAGTCTCTTTTAGTATAGCTCTCATATCAGCTTTAATAATACTGATATTTCTCTCAATAATTCCATTCTAATAAAATAATATTATAATAGTTAATTCTAATTAAATTCCAGAGTTCTATTCTTTAATAGTTTGAATTAACTCTAATATATTATTAATTCAAATAATTACTATCTTATTATTAATATCAAATTCTAATTCAATTTTTTATTTCTTTAATTTTAATATAACTTTATTTTTTATCTTCAAGATTAAAATCTAATTCATTTTTATTCAATTGTTTATAATTAATAGAAAGTAATAATTTCCTTATAAGAATTTTAAGAATAGATTAATAATATTGAAATAAATAAAATCTAATTTTCTTGTTTTATAGGGACTAAATTGTTTTGGAATTAGATTTTTTATTTTAATAAATATACATATTTTGTATACAGGGATCTTAAATAGGACTTTGATTGGTTTTTCTAATATTATAATTTTATAAAGATTTCGTATTTTCTTTAGATTAAAATAATTAAATTGTTTATATTATAATAAATAAGTTTTTAGATCCTTTTTGATTTTATTTAAAGAAATATCTAAAGTAATCTTATTTAGTTTAATATTATTAATAATCTCTATACTTTATAGAATAATATCTTTATATTCTTTTATAATATTTAAGATTATATAAATTCCTTTATCCATTTTTATTTTAATAATATTTATTTTATTTTTTTGAAAATACATATAATTTAAATTAAATCTACTTTTGAATCTAATTTTACAAATTTTTCTATTAAAAAGAAGATTGACTCCTAATCCCAGTATATATAACATTTTTGAAAATAAAATCATACCACCATTTTCTAGCTTTATTATAATAATATCTATCCAATTATAATATATAATTTTCCTATTAATTTTTATTGTTTTTCTTTTTATCTTTTTGATATCTTTAAAGAAGAAAAGTTGATTAGATATATATAAAAAAGCATTAATATCTATATATTAATAAAAAGGGGTGATTTTACAAATAAATTCTTTAAAAACATAGTATTCTTTATTATTAGATTTTTTTTTGCTTTCTGATAAATCGAGGTTAATTGGAAGACTCTCGCTATTTACAAAATAAGCTTGATTATTCTTTCTTTTAGAAAATAATATTTTGATTGTCTTTTTAAGTATTGCTTTTTGTCATTAGGCTCTATAGTATTTACAGATTAGAACTTATATAAATATAAAATCTTTATAATTATATAGAAAGTGATTTTTTTGTTTATAAAGATGATAAATATAAGTATTGATTGTTTTCTCTTGATTTTATTATATTGGTAAATTTGATTCTCTATTATCTCTTTATCGGTTTAGGATTATATACTTTCTATTAATAGTATAAACTTATTTTGTCTTTTGAATATTGAGTTTTTTAATAGTAAAATATTTAATCTTGTCTTTTATTACTAATGTACTTTAAACGCTTATAGCATCGATTATTATTTGGTATTTGCTTAAAAGACTTTTAATTAGAACTAAAAATAGAGCTTCGTCTTTATATGAGTTTTTGAATATGGGGTTGATAGTACCAAGCTTGTATCAATATTCTTTCAATTTATTCTAGGCTTTAATAATAGTTATCTCTAGATGGCTAATAGACTTAAAAATGAATGTTTAGATTATTATCAAGTATAAATTGGCTATAATATTATTAATTCTTAAGTACTTTGATTTCAAATAGTTCTATAATATTTATATTATATTATATTTATTAATAAATATTTTATTATTATTATTAAATGATTTATATATGTATGATAATATATTAACTTTATTTTTTAAATATTTAGTTTTTTTATTTAAATTAAACCTGATATTTATGACTTTGTTTTTTTTGAGGATCAGAAAAACTTTAATATTATTGATTTCCATTCTAATTCCTTTAATCTTAGTATGCTTTTATAATATAAACTCAATTATATAAAACCAATTCTTTTTTTTTAATTGTATTTTTATTTATTGAAATCATCAATTATAAATCTCTTAAATAAGATTTAGAATACTTTTCATTTGTTTTTTGGTTTTATTCATTTTGATATCTATGTAAAGAATTTATAAGATTTTTTTTTCTCTTTTTTTATATAAATAGATCTATATAGATTGTAAATATAGGTATATTTAATATTATATGCTTTTTGTTGTATTATATATGTATTTATTTGTAAATAATATTATATATTTTTTCAATTCCACAAATTGGTGGTAGTAGTGATTACAATATTGCATACTGTTTATAAAATAATACTGTATATTCTTTAATTTTATGAATTAGATTGTAATAATAATCATGTTAATAATATCCAGAGGCTATGTTAATTAGGTTTTATAATTTATTAAAAGATTAAATAAAAAAGATTTCTGTATTGATTATATTACTATATGTGTAAGTATATTGATTTTTTTATAATATTATATAAGGGGATTAATATATCTGTCTATGGTTCGTTTAATCTAGCCTGTTTAGGTAACTGTATTACTAATCACTACACGTGTTTAGCACTGGTAACTTCTATTCCTTTTAACAAAAAGTATATTATTTTCAATAATATTTATAAATATAATATAATAAAAGAATTTTGGAAATATATTATATATACAAACGAAATATATATAAATCCTATTTTTATAAGAAAAGAAAAGATTCTAAAAAAAGCTGGGATTCGATATAAATCAAAAAATATAATAAAATACTTTTTATTAAAAGATAATAAAATCTATTATAGAATATAGATTTTTTTTAAAGAAAAAGATGAAAAACTTAAATTCTATTATAATAAAAAGGAATATATAAATAAACCAATATTTGTATTTAAGTTTAAAAAAACAATTCAAAATTAAAAATCCTAAAGAATATAAAAAAAAAGTTTATATATAAAAAACTAATAAATTATATTCTAAGAATATTAAGCCTTGAAATAATACTATAATATAAAAATATTATACAAAATAATTCTTTTTTATTTATATAAAAATTATTGAGAAATTATAAATAAAGGATTTTATATATAAATAATTTTTAATAAAGAATAATAATAATTCTTATAAATTCCTTAAATATAATCTTACATAAAAACTTAAAGATATATATAATATCGAAAATCTATTTTACCCCCCTAATTCATTTAATTTAAATTTAATAAAAAATATTTAGAATATATTAAAGTAATAAGTTTAAAAAAGATAATAAAAAATATAAAAGAAATTAAAAAAGATTATATAAAATAAATAAAATAAGATTATATAAAAGGAAATTTAAAAAAGATATATTAAATTACTCAATAAATATAGAACTCTTATTAATATTAATAAAGAATATATATAATTAAAATTATAATAATTATTAGTTATTTAATTATAATATTATCTCATTTTGGGTTTTTTGAAGTTATATAGATTATCCCGTGAGTCCGTGCACCCACTAGTGGATAAGAATTTCTGGTGACTAAGCATCTTACACGAGCCACCAGTGGGTGCACAGACTCACGGGACAACATGACAGGAAAGCACAATTTCACACTCAAATTTATCAACTTCAAAACTCAATCAAAATTCCAAATTCCATCTAATATTATTCAAATCAAGATATATGATTTATAAATATAAGATTTATATAATATATAAAGATTGAATCTTAAAAATAAATATTAAATTTAAAAATCAAATAGTATGTTTTTTTATCAAATTTTTTGATGGGATATTATATAATCGATTGTATAAACTTGAATTTTTTTTTGAAATAAAACTTTTATTATATAAAATTCTTATACTTAAGAATAATAATTCTTAATTTTAAAGTCAAATATCAATTTTTTGAATTTTAATTGAATTATCAAAACAGCTCTTTTTGGTGTGAAATTGTGCTTTTCCTCTTAAGTGTCCTGTGAGTCTGTGTACCCACTGGTGAACACGACACTTCTCTGATGTTACTGTTGTTTAAACAACTTGGGTACAATTATTCTCCATCGGTATTACTCTACCTACAACAACAACAATAAGAATATCATACCGTAGTTCAAGGGAATGAATAATACATGTCAACCAATTCACCGGTCAACATCTTCTTTCCATACATTGCCAGCGTCGCGAGATCGCAGAGCAGAGCAAAATAATTAGAATAACTTTCCCCTCTGCAAATCTGCCGAACGAGATCATCCGCTGGAATAAAACGACTTCGAGCGAATAACAAAATGAGATATAATAATGGGCTGAAAATAATTGGTCGAGAGGCGTGGATAAAATTTAACGAGAATGATTGTAAAGGGACAACCTCGAATGTGATGCTGAAGAGAGCTGTCACAAATGCACACAAGAAGTCTCTATCTACAAGCTAACGTTAGGGTCTCCTATTGCAAAAATTTCCAATCTTGGAAATGGTAAAGGAGCCTAGGTTGCTCTCCTCGAATGACCGAACTTTACCACGAGTTCTTTTGTCTTTCATCTTCCCTCGACCTCTCAAGCTCTCTTACATCACAATGTCACATTTACCTGGCCGAACGAGGGAAATGGAATCCGATTCAGAACACTGAGCAGTTCTACCATCTGTGAACCCTATCTCACTTTCCTAGGGCCACACCAAGCAAAGTTTCAAGTAAAAACATCACAGGTTTGTACTTTGCTTATTTCGTCCCCGAAATAGGTCACCTCACTGTAAGTTTGCCAAGTACTTAAGTCCTAGCCGAGATTGGGCCCTCATCCCTGGTCACATTCTTCTTCTATCAATATTCAAACGGCTTGACGAGACGTTCCTGTTATCTGCCATTTTGTCATGATTTCAAGTAGCCTCATTCGGTCCAGAGAACTCTTGTCTCATAGTACCTACCCATGAGGCCCAGGATCTCAACCTTCGAGTCATTATCAGCTTCCCGGCTATCGAACAGGAGCTTCATTGTTCCCATCATGAATTAAAACCGCATGAAGAAAATATTGCCAACTCTATCCTGGTAATAATGACAAGATTGGCCGGGATCGCGCCATGTTTACATTACAACCCCAATTCCCATCCAAAACATTCAAATGAACCTTCGCAATGCTATTATATCAGTCTTCACTCTTCGCCCTTTACCCTAACCAACCTCGTAACACTTGTTCCGTCTCCCAAAATCTCCACTTCTTCCTCAACTCTGTACCCACCCCGCCGTGGCAATCCCCAAAACACTACCGCCCACCAGCCTACCCCAAAAAGAATGATGCCTACCCCCACAACAGCGTATGTCGCATACCAAAACCCCACATCTGCGCTTCCCTTTGTCGGTTTAAAAAAGGGGCCCGCGATCAATGCCAAACAAACTGCTATCCTAATCCAAACTGCCGGCAACCATGCTTTGAAAGGTCTCTTCAAGTCTGGCCGACTATAGCGAAGATAAATTAGTCCTAAAGAGAGGGCTAATGCTGCAAATTGACCTGGATAACCTTCAACGTCTATGATGAAGTTATAGACGTCACCTCGAGGAGGTATAGCGATCACCAGGAAGGAGGGAATGTAGTGGACTATTAGACCGCCGAGAGGTGCACCGAAGGGAGCTGAGGAGAGGTACTTAGAATAGGGGAGGAAACCTTGACGGGCTATCTCTTGGTTCACACGGGCCTAGTGACGCAGGGCTAATTTGAGTTTTGGGCAATTGTGAATCATAGATGGCAAGACGAATGATTGAAAACTTACGAGTGTAAAAGTGACAACCATAACATTTCCGGCCGCACTAACCGCCACAGCCAATGGCAATAGGATTCGCCCCCCTACATCACCAAAAACTCTCACGAAAAACAATGCAGCAATAAGTTGTCCACTTTCCTTCACTTCCTCCAGCGGAACCACAGATAAATACGCAAAATTGGCTAATAGATACAACGAACAAGCTGTAAATAAGGCAGCCGGCGCGACAGTCTTCAACGTTCTGACCGGGTCCTTGACCTCGTTAAGAACATTATTCAGATTCGACAATCCTGCATAAGAATACGAAACTTTGAAAACAGCAGTTGTCAGAGTTCCCCAATGCCAATTTGAACCAGTCCAAAGTCCATCCCAGGAAAATCCTTCCCTGGATAATGTAGGAACTTCAGGTCCTATTTCTGGAAGCTTTACACCGAACACCACGACGAATATTCCAGTTAGGGCCATGAAAAGGATGAGACCTACTTTGATCCATCCTAAGAAGTTTTGAATCCATATTCCCGTTTTGAGAAAGCATCCATGAACGATCGTTATCCAGGTTAAGAGTCCCAAGGCGATAGCTTTTTGCCCCAATTCCGTACCCTCAATTCCAAAAGCAAAAAGCACATATTCGCCAAAAACGATGCAATTGCTTGCTGTAAACCCTAATAGTACTGCTTGTACAGCTACAAGGGTGCTGGCAAGAAATCGAGGTCGTGGATAAGTAAATTCAAGGTATACTTTTTCGCCTCCAGATCTAGGAAGCATGCAACCATATTCTAGAGAAATTTGAAGACCGAGCCAAGCAAGTATAGAACCAGCAACCCAGAGAAGTAAGGCAAGACCGATACTGCCGGTTGTTTTGAGGATGGATCCGGGGGTTGCAAAAATCCCGGAACCGATTACTCGGGATATAACGAGTATGTAGGCGCTTGACCAGGACAGGTTACGACCTAAAGTGCTGGTTTCGGGGATGGTGTCGTCTTCTATTTGACGGGAGGGCTTGGATGGTGGAGAGGAAAGGGAGTTGACGGAGGTTGAGCGAGAGGAGAGAAGAGGCTCGGACTCGAGAGCTGATGAGTCGGCGGAACTTGTTGATGTCGACATCTTTGGGGGATATTGAAGAACGCAGCTACGATGGCATAATTCTCATACGCTGATATTAGAAAACTATACGGCGTTAGCATCACAAAGTCTCGCAATACTGCAGACAATTACATTGGTTTAAGATAAAAGCCACGAGCAAAGTCGTTATCGCGTTGGAATGTGAAGGCCCGGAACATAGAATTGCAATACCCGACGACAGAAGAATGGACTCTATCATAAAAGAGCAAAGAAAACACTTCAGCGAGCAGGCTCGAACTTGGAGATAATTATCTTCAATACAGAATCTGTATCTTTAGCAGTCTTCGATTTTTAGATCGATAGCTGCTCAACTACTATCATGTTTCACCCTCCCCCAATTTCACCATTATCTCACCACCGAAGCCCAGCCATATCAATGATGCCATATGAACTATATAAGACATATATTGAATCGTAACCACACAAAATAGCTTGCATGTAGATCAGCACCTATATGACATCTCATGCAACAATTGCGTGCTCTCTTGTCCCCCGTTGTGATTCGTCGAAAAATGGCGGACCTTATGATCCCTTGACATACGCTGCCTAAACTCTTATCTGTTTTTGTTATGAGCTTTGAAATCAAATATCAGATGTTGGATGTTTTCTGGGGGGGGGTTATGTGAGATTCGACCGAATTTAAGAGACGGGAGAACAAATTGACTCGATTCCTTTTTCGAGACTAACGGCGGGTTATGGGTAAACTTCCTTCCCATCCCACGAATTCTATTTAAAACATGACATTGCGCCATTCTCGTCAAACATGCACAAGAATGCGGGGTTGAAGAACTCGTCAAATAAACATCTGAATAATAGATGTGCTTTGAAATCATACTGGATTAATAATTATATTAGTCTTCTTGGTGCTTCAACGTCAAGTCATCTCGATGTAAAAATAGTACTTATACTTGCAAGATCCAAAGTTTGTAGTAAAATATCCACAATTTCAAAAGACTTTTGATCATACAATTGAACAGACTTGACTAGAGATATTAAACCCCGAAAACCTCATTAGCATAATGTCTACCACACTCACCGAACAAGCTCCCTCCGAGCATATCACCAAGCTCGAGACCAACTCCACTATACCTCACGATATCAAAGGAGTTCTGAATTATTACCTTGATCCAGAAGATGGAAGTCCTCCAGAGCCCAATTACGTGAGTAAGCCTAGCACTTATGATCGTCCCGTCCATTCGGTGGAGGTTACTGTCCACGATATCCGCGGTTCGGAAGACCAGTATACGTTGGACACCACCGGTTTCCAGGTCGTAAACCATGTTAGTCGGGAAAAAGATTTTGTGGATGAGGAGAAGATCAAGAGTGACTACTACGAAGAAACCGAAGAATTGTTGAAACGAGAGTCAGTATTTACTCCGCGCACTGGCTTTCAAACTGGACAGACTGCTAACACGCAAATAGAACCGGAGCATCCAAAATTTTCATCTTTGACCACACAATCCGTCGTGAAGCTCTTGATACAAGAACCCCAGCACCTGTATCTGCTGATTCAATCAATAAGAATCCCACCCCAGTTGTAGTCCGCGGTCCAGTTCAACGCGTTCACATCGATCAATCCTATGCCGCCAGTCCCCGCCGCGTAACCCATCATCTTCCCGAGGAAGCCGAGAAATTTCTCAAAGGACGTTTCCAAATCATCAATGTTTGGCGACCCATCAAGACAATTCTCAAAGATCCCCTTGGTGTTGCTGCTGCCAATTCAGTTGATGACAAAGATCTTGTTCCAATCAAACTTATCTATCCCAATCGCGAAGGAGAAACTTACTCTGTGCGTCATGCTCCGGGTCATAAATGGAACTATTTGTATAAGCAGACACCTGAGGAGGTACTTCTGATCAAGTGTTTTGATAGCAAGACTGATGGGAGAGCGAGACGTGTTCCGCATAGTGCGTTTGTGAATCCCGAACATGAGGGAGAGAAGACGAGAGAGAGTATTGAGGTTAGGGCATTAGTTTTCCATCCGGATGATACAGAATAGAGAGAACTCTGAGGGGCATAGCAAAGACTTTTGAGCCTGTAAGAAATATGTAAGAAGGAAAGCATGAATCTAAATTGAACCAGTATCTCATCCATTGCGAACCATTTTGAAATGCGTGAGCTGCACGTTTAAGCCACGTTCATTTGAATTAGAAACCATCTTGGCTAACATGGCCAACTTCTGCAGTTGTATCATCAGGGAAACTTAAGAAGCAAGACAATTGCCGCTGGGGGTAAGAAGCAATTTGCAGCAGCCATCTCATTCAGGATGATTCTGACCTTACCGAAGATCGTTCGCACACCTAAATTTAGTCTTACCGAGGTTGGCAATGAGCATTGATTGATCTTTTGGAATCACCCTGACAATAAGTTTTGAACCACAAAAATTGAAATGAAGATATATAAATAATGATCTTTCCCTAGACACCTTTAAAATATGCTTTGTTCAACTGTCAAAAATAGTGACTCGGATGACCAGTACTATATTTAGCTATTACGTAATAGCTTGATTTTTTCAAGGCTTAAGTTAAGGTTAATCTATCTCTTTTGCAATCAGAACATACAGAATCTCGGCACTTGGTAATCTCTAACAAACCACACAGAAATATATTGATAATCGATCCAGAGAATCTCGTTACATTCAACAATTTCGCACAAGATCAGTGTGGACGATGTATTAATAAGATTATAAGAGCAGCAAACATGAAATCAACAGTGCCAAGTGGCATGAGGAATGGTTGAAATAGATTCTTCTGTCTGTCTGGAACTCATGTGGCAGGTCAAGCTAGTTACATTTTCAGTATGAATCAAACCGTCATAGAGATTTCAATGACCAGAGCGCGGATCCTAATCAGCAGTTTCTTTCAGCGATGACTGCACGGGCGTATAATTCTCGCTCAGGGTGTCGGAGAAGAATAATTCATCCCCTCCGGACAAAACTTGTAACGCTCAATGGTGGGGAAATTTGGCGTGCTTTCGTTAATAGCTCGGAAGCAGCCTGAATTTGCTACGGCCCAGCTTCTCAGCTTCCCCCAATCGTTACACATTCTTGTCTGACCGATCCCAGATGTTGGATGCTCTTTTCCTTTCTCAGAGTTTAGTCGACCGGTATATCTTGGGGTGTCATCGGCATTGCATATTACTTCTTCACGAAGCACATTTAGGCAATGAGACACATGCTCGAGTGGATATGTTAGGGGCACATTATCGTATGCCTCGAGGACTAAGTTTCGGACAAGTTGCTACCAGGATGTATCAGCGATGTAAGATTGTAAGTCACCGTTACACCTACAAGGCAGTGAAGGTTGTGAAAGCCGTTCAGAACGTAGATGCCTTTCGAATGATCCCAGGGCCAGCGCTGTGCCGGAAGCAGTCCTTTTGATTTGGCGTACTCGTCTGTCAAAGCCACGAGTCCGACTTCCGAGTCAAGATCCGGTGAGCTCCAAGCTGCATCTGCAATGGTTCTATTCTCGTTGGTGAATAGGTTGTCTATGATGAAAGGAGTTGATATGTTTCGCACAAGACCAGCTGCCATCTTTGTTAGCTAAATTTAACAGTACTTAATGGATCCCAGCAGCATACTGTATTTGGTGGGTGTTAATATGGATATCGACATCAATTGCACGGTCTGGTGAACCCATAGCGCATTGAACAGCAGCGAAAATGAAAGGAAAATGCCGAGAGCAAAGGAAACCCCTTGGAAGTAATGAAGCTGTCGCTGTAGATTGAGATACATCAAAGTCTCGATATCATCATCTGTATCATCTTGCTGCACAATCTTAGATTCCTGCAGAGCCATTGCGGAAGGACGTGAGAGTAGGCTTCATCGCCCCATGAGTCAAGTGAAACTTATAAAGGGCCGCGATAGCGCGCCTTCTTTTCTATGGCACACTACTTGGAATTCAAATAATATTTTCCAAATCATGTTAAAAGAGGTGCTGAGTAGACACTGCATGGTTCTATTGATCCCTCACTTCTTCAAGGTTAAAGCGGCCAGCTCAATTTCTGTACCGGATCTCAAACCCCTACAGACAAGGGACATCGCAAATATGTAAGCCGGAGGTTGATTACAGCGACCGCCCAAATGAAACCCTTGCGCGGCTACAAGTCTGCAACGGTATCTGGATGTTATTTTGCAGATCTTACCTAGTTTAATGCAAAATGCACATATGTAGGTTGGTGGCATGTCATGCAATATGTATGGCTTTCGGCCTAATAATCCTCGGCATACCCCTGTCGATAACCGAGAACGGCAGGTCAGATAAGAGATAAATTATATACTGTACATGGTTGAGAAGCAAAACATCAAATAGCAGATTGCGCGGTTCAATAACCTTCGACCTGTTCTTCTATGGTTGTAAACTCTGTAGCTTTGATTTATTTCTGCGCGGCGTTAAAGCTACCTGAACATCCCAAAGGATACGTATGGAATCCACGTAACTATCTTCACCCCTTCTAATCTCTTGATAAATGCAAAATTCCTGAGACCTTGCCTCAACAAGAGATCTCTCGATCCGTGGAAGCCCTTATTCCGCAAGTGACTCCGCGTCTCATCGGTTACCTCTCACCATGTTCGATTTCTTGCCCACGTTCGTGTACGCTCTACCTTTCATTCTGCTCGTTTATGTTTCGAGCCGGCTCGTCTCGTCTAGAGCAGCTCGTAAGATCATCGAACAACATGGTTGTGAGCATCCTCCATCATATCCTCAAGCCAAGGTGTCTGAGCTTATAAAATCACGAACAGACGCCACCAAAAATGGCAGCCTAATGGATCTATACATGGAACACTTTAGCTTGTATGGAAAAACATGGGAAGAACATTCTCTAGGCGCAAAAATTATCAATACAATGGAAGCACGCAATTTTCAACAAGTCACCGCACTTTCCTTTCAAGACTGGGGTAAGGCTTCCACCACACATTCCAGTCCTTTCTTCGGCAAAGGCATATTCTTCATGAATGGCGCCGAGTGGAAGCTTGCTAGAGAGCTGGTTCGACCCACATTCTCGAAAACTGAAGTATCGGATGTTGAGATTATCGGAAAACACGCGGATAGACTGATTGACATAATTCCTCGAGATGGATCTACCATTGATCTCCAACTACCTTTGCGAAAACTGGTAATGTTTCTTGGTCCCCTACCACATTCAAATCTGCTTACAAAATGTATAGTTCCTTGATACAGCTACTGAATTCTTAATGGGACAGTCAATCGATTCTCAATTAGACAATGATCCAAATAACTCGGCGAAAATACTTGCGGCATTTGACACTTCACTGGCTGGGGTAGGAAAACGAAGATTACTCTCAAGGTTCAAGCGCTTTATGCATAACTTTGACAAGGGCTGGAAAGAAGCTTGTGGGTTAGTTCACTCATATATTGACGTCCATGTTGCTCGGGCTTTGAAAGAAACTGAGAATTCCGAATCAAGAGCTGGAGCCATGGATGCTGACACAAAAAAACCCACACGGTACATTCTGCTGTTGGAAATGGCCAAGCAGATTCGGGATCCCGTCGCACTTCGATTTCAGATTCTGAATGTATTTATACCAGCTCGTGATACAACAGCTGTCATGCTTTCAAACACACTCTTTCATCTTGCAAGGAATTCAGATATCTGGACACAGCTCCGAAATGATAGCTTGGTATTAGGCGATCGACCTCTAACCTTCGAGGTCCTCAAATCACTTCAACTATTCAAATACGTTCTTTTTGAAACCCTTAGATATCAAGGACCATCTGGACGAATTTACCGAACCGCAACACAAGACACGGTTCTCCCTACCGGTGGTGGACCTTCGGGAACATCCCCAATTTATGTGGAAAAGGGGACAGTAGTTGCTTTAAACTTGTGGGGTCTTCATCATGACGAAGATATCTGGGGGCAAGACGTAAATGAATTCAAACCTCAGCGATGGTTCGATCCCAAAAAGCAGTTTCAGTGGGAGTTTGTACCTTTCCTCGGAGGACCAAGGATTTGCCCAGCTCAACAGCAAGTGCTTACTCAATCGATATATCTCTTAGTTAGACTGACGCGAGAGTTTACCGTCATTGAAAATAGGGATCCGGTCAAAGAATATGTCGGTAGGGTCACAGCGTTGACGGAGAGTAAAAATGGGGTGAAAGTTGCATTCCGGGTATAATTAGCTCATCAATGTTGAACGTGGCCTAAATGATGATTCGTCTACTTAATCTACACATCATTTGCTGTGTATTTCTCTAATCATGTCGGTATTCAAGATAAATTGAAGCTGCAGTAATATTCTTGCGGATCGGTTCAATACAAGTTTCGAAGCTTGAAGGATAACGGTCTATCTCGAAACCTACAACTGCTACAGTGTATTCAATTCTTATACCCATAATTTTAAGCATAAAATTGTATACAGAATATTGACTCATAATTATTTTTTCACATATTTTCCAATATTTCTTGATGAGAAAGATGTAGAGAATTAATTTTTCAATGGGATTATTGAATAGAATGTGTTCAACAGGGCGAGAATTATTTTGCATACCCTCTCAAGATCAAGACACAGCTTGTCAACTACATTTTTTTTGATAGAATATAATAATGCTTTTAGTAACAATCAATAGTGCCCTTGTAGCTAGCTACTTTATGGAGAGTTAATCCTAAATCCTCCACCGAAGTCAAGAACTCTATTTCAGTCGCTGTGTATCTTGAGAATGACTCAGCCACTGAAGTAGCCATCTGGGCTATCTCATACATATACCATCACAATCTTTGTGACGATTGCGATAAAGTCTTTGTGACATGCACATCATTTGGAACAGAGACTTGTCCCGTGCTCTCCAAATCATACATGGCATGTGTTTCAATAGCCATGACATCGTCAGGTCTCAAGTTAGACAATGAAGGACTCTCAACGCTTTGGTTATCCTTGCTCGATTTCGATTTTTGGTATCCTTTGCTGTTTTGAGAGCCAATGGATCGAAGAGAAATAATACTGCGTACACTGCGAAGTACGTTCTCCGGTGTGACTTTATGCGAAAGGTAGTAAAGCGTCGGAAGGTTGACTGCAACGCAGCTGAGACCTACTTCCAGAATGGATAAATAGATAGATTTCGTATTTGTTACTATGTGCTGTCTGTTAGATTCATGATCTTTCCAAGTTAAGCGAGCTCGCGACAGCTCGGTGCCTTTGATTGGAAACTAGGGGCTATCTACTCACGTCTCGAGTCAACTTTCTTGGTCGCAGGAACTATTTATGAGGTTAGTATTCTCCAAATTATATAAATCTAAATAGAAGGAAGGTGAATTTATATGAGAAAATTCATACGATTGTCGAGCTCCACAAAGACTGCCAGCCTCGCAATGCAAGCTCCGAAGCCCCTATAGTATGGTGTGTTAGCTAAATCAAAATATGCCAGTGTTGATCAATACTAGCATCTTTGAAGCTAATTCAGAATGGGTAATGACTAACACAAATGCTAAGAGAAACACTCCAATAATAGCGAAACGACGTGTGAGAGTCGTTTTGATCGTTAAAATCTGCAATCTGTTACCGCGTGAACTCGTAAAATCAGAAAAAGCAAGAAGTATTTGACAGTATCTCCTGTTAAAATTGCAACATACTTGAGGGATGGGAAGAGCGATGATCCAGAAGTCGAGTATAGAATCCGAGATAGACAAACTCAGCAAGAATTGGTGAGGTCTTGTTCCACAATACTTCATGAATACCGCTTTGCTAGAAGTCCATAGGGCCGAGAAGTGAGATCCACATGACAATCCAAGCAGTATACAAAATGCTGCAACCCAAAGAGAGCATATGACGATGCTTATAATAACAAGTATTCGGAAGGCAGTTCGGCGCCCATGGTCGCAAAAGATCCGATAGTAGAAGCACAGTGCGCTAATCTTGACACACCCTAGAGTTAAAATTGAGAACAAATCGAAGGCGAAGTAGAGCTGAGCTTGTGTTAGTTCTTATCATGGGCAGCAAGATCAGATCATGAGCACCTTTGATGCTATAGGAGCAGTCTCCAAAGCTAAAGATTTTTCACTCGGCGTTGAGTAGCCTAGGATCTTTTTGTTTGTGCCTAATGAAAGAGATAAGTAAGCACTGAGAGTCAATAAAATGTAAGTTCGCCCCAACGCCGGCCAAGAACAGTAGATTTGTCTCACCATAGAGCGCAGTGCCACAGGTACCGCCAAGCAGTAGCTATATATTCAAACTTCAAAGTCAGTCCAAGAGTAATGTAGTAAGGTCTACCAATTCCTATGACCCGGCTAGGCTAGCTTCAGAAACAAAAAGAACAGTTACGTACAAGGCATGGTATCATAATCCAGTCATCTGTTTTTAATGGCGCTTCTTGTACACGGCGAGAATAAAAGCGTAGAGCAATAGACAGAGTCGAGAGTGCCAGCATGCTACTGGCAACAGCAGTTAGTCCTTCATGAGATGTGGTAGACATGTTGGACGCTTCAACTCGGCTTCAAAGCGAAAGCTTATGAAATGCTGAGAAAGATTCCGAAGAGGTGAAAGAAGTGGATAAAGAGAACGTCTCAAGTGAAATATAGGACATCTATAAGCGTTAGTTTAAGCTCATTGAGTAGGCCTACATTTTTGCTGCGCGGATGCGTTTCCCGGTGCCGTTTAGAAGCTTGTTCTTATCGCAGTTCTTCCGAGTCTTAATCTTACTTAGAATTAGCCTGACCATAATTGATGGTGTGAACTGTGAGATAAGAATCGTCAAGTCGAATTAAGCCTTGTGGCCCGCTCTTGGAGGGTGGCTAGACGATCATTTTACCTGCCACTAAACACGGGAAGCATTTTTCGTGTTACGTCGTATCTTACCCCGGCTCGGAACTAGGATACCGGCCATACGGGTAAGGGTTCCATCGACACAACCAAGGAAATAGCCGAGGCCTTGTTAGCATCCCCTCACCCCACACCCCCCATATCTTATTTAATTGACAAACCTGTTGACAATTTGTTAAATTTCGACACAATCCTACGAACAAGGTAACTCTATAGTACCCTGTTTTTTCACCTGTAGAGTATGTTGGTCTAGTCTTAGAAACATATGTACCGCGAATTATCTCAACATCAACAATTGATTTGAATTCGCGATGGCTTGGCATCACTCTGAGCTTCCTTATCGGTTCACCACGCCTCAAATACGCGTTACAATCACATGCAAGATTTAACACTTCTCTCTTTCGAGGATCATTCGACCGGGAGGATCGTCATGGTTTGGTCGAAATCCAGTCACTCTAATTATTCAGGAACTTGAAGAATGACACATCCATGCCTTTATTGATAGGGGAATGCTGAGTGTGGTATATGTCAAGGAGCAATATAGACATCTCATCTCACCGGAGTATTTCGCATGTTTACCCGGACCCGAGTGTGTGCATGGTCAGTTGGATACCTTCAGCTGCAGTTGGCTGTCTGTTGGAAAGCTATGCACCAAATCACTACCTCGGTAGACATGGTAATTGGATACCTTGCTTGGGAAGATATCAATCGAGGCCAAGAGTGACAAGATCTGTGTTGATCGCAGTTGCTGCTTTACCAAACGGCAGGGTATGTTTGAGATTAGCCTTTTTTGTTATTGCATCAGCGTTGTCGTTGCTTCACAGCGAGTCATCACATTGTAGCTGGGGTTCTCTTCAAATATACTTTTACTTTACCTCCTTGTACCTTTCGTTTGCTTGTTGGAGTTGCTGTGACTTGTTGTTTGATTTTAGGCACACTCACTTCCCAGTGGTCGGTGATACAATCGCTTGACTAAGAAGCTCATAGAGTGAGTTGAGGGTGGCACTCAACGTGTAATACTTCGAATTAAGATATACATATATAAGTAGATACAGGTTCCAAGAGATTGGCACAGATGTATTCATTTGAAGCAAATCATCCCAAACGTTTATAGGCCAAAATCAAGCTGTCCAACAACACATCAGGTTCAACCCAACAATCATGTTATTCTCCACACTTATTACTTCCTCTTTCGCGGTCCTCGCATTAGCAATCCCCTTGAGACCCCGCTCTGGTACGTGCTAGTCCTCAGAAGACTATGGTTTATTTGTGGCTTCTTTCAAACCTCATCTATTTCTGATAAATATTTCTGACATCATGTTCTAGTATATGATATTGCTGTCGATGAAGTCTCACCGACCCCTCTGATTGAATGGTCAGACACAAAAAGAATCGCAAGAACAACTGCCGACGAAGGAGAAGCTTCACTTGCCCCAATAATCGAGTGGGCAGATACAAAGAAGACCGCAAGAACTGTCTCCGACGAAGAAGAAATATCACCTACACCCCTCATTGAATGGGCAAATTCTAGCAAGGCTTAGATGTTAACCAATCTTGGCTTCGGTTAGTCTCTCGAGCTAATGCCTTCAACTGATCGTTACATCACATACGTCACACAGACACTAATATGGGTTTACATGTAGATTGCCATGCCATCCTTTGCTCGTGTGCAACAATGCCATTGAAGCGCATACGGTTTTCAGGTCGATTATACCGTTTGGCTGGCTATCGGGATATAGGATGGATTTTGTCAGTCAAGAATCAGGAAGGCTTCCAATCAATGCAAGGTCGATAGAATACACTTTTTTCAAAGAAGTTGGAAATTATCTGCTTCTGCTTTTCATACATGCAAGGCTCAAGAATGCAAATTATGATGCTTTCACCAGTTCTTGTGTCATCGTCCACTACTTTTTATAGACTCCGTAGCTGCTTAGGCTGCGCAATAGTATGTGCGAGGCGAATCATGGGTTTGGTGAATAGCTTGCGGAGAAACTGTTCTTGGGGTAGACGATTTGTACGACCCACCCCTCTTGAATTCGTCTTCTCATAGCTTATCTCCCGCGTGCAGATAGCATTCAACAGAAAGACTCGTCAAAGTAATAACCAGGTCCAAATATTTTACTCAGATTCTAGTTGTTTCACTCTTCGTAATCTAGAGCGAGTATAGATCGGGTGTTTCTCCGACAGTAATATGGACAACCAAATAGTCCACGAATAAGCCAAGGTATACCTTGCACTCCATTAAATACGGTGCTATAAACCAGCTTGAAACTTACAGTAATCGCTCGAGGTATCAACTGCAGCGTGGTTCATCAGCATGTCACACCCGCTGGAGAAATCGTTCTTGTAGGTATGGAAGGGGTGTAGAATTGTCAACACTATGGCTCTAGATTATACATCGATTCACCGAAGTCGCATCTTTCATACTACCTCTTCCGAAGTATGAGGAGAGATCCTTTGATAGGTATTATTAGTTTTCCTTGGGAGGACATAGAGTGTATGTGCACCCTGCATTTTATGGAGAGATTTCTAGCACTTTTTTGATCAACCTGTCCTTCGTCAACAATTCCAAAACCCCTAGAACTTCACGAAATCTACAAAATTTGCCCTTTGAGGGAAGCCTATATTATGTATTGACACGATACACTTGTTGTCCCTAACACCACACAGTATATACTCTTACCCCGCTCCTAATAATTCTCACAATTCAAAATTCCGAACCTCAAGATACTGTCCAAAAGCATACTTTAAAAAAACACTGTCCCACACATAATACAGAATGTGGCCGAATAGATCGCGAGATGAATATGCGATATACATACAACAACAGCACAGCAAAATTGCGATCCTACCTACCAATTCACCCTGACTATACTAGCATAAAAGACAAAAGAAAAACAAAAACATACAACAGCAGGGATTCGCTGGTGGTCACCCACCCAACTACTAATCTACCGATCTAAGGCTTGTGTATGGCAGAGCGGACGGGATGCCCAATTCTCCTTAGTCTATGGTCGTATGTAACAGCAAACTACAATTGTAAGACTATATACTATATTTAACGGGCAAAAGCCTTCCTTTTCCGCCCTCCCTAGCGCTTAATCTGTAGAAATGTATCTAGCTTTGAATAATCAGATGGCTTGATTATCTTTCGTGAATTTATACATTAGTTAAAGTACCTATACATAGACAGCAATTAACTAATATTACCCAGTATGGAGCCACTTATCAGCCTCACCAAAGACAAGATCATCCATCGCGAAGCGAGAAAGGGGGGAACCCCGAGATGTCATCACGCAACAACGCGCAAGCGGTAGTGAATTATCAAAGATGTGGAAGAACAATGACTTCGAATTTTTTTGACGAATATGACTAATAAGTATGGATTGAAATGATTGTTGTACTTGAGTTTCCTGGAGATAATTTGCATCCACGCACATCCTCGAAATTCACGGTAAAGTCATTGCGCTTCCATGGGTGGTGGTATTTGCTATTTCAGAATTCCTCATCGCATGATATGAAGATCTGTTGGTTTGAGAAGGATACGGAAAGACGTAGTACCCACGTATTAGTAAGTCCTAAATGTCTATATTGTATTCTTTCTCAAGAGCTAGCTATATACAGAAAGTAGTGGGCCTTATATAGGCACTACTGAAAGAACTAGTCTCTTTCGCATTCGCCTAAAGCTCAATACAGTGGCCATTGATTGAAGTCATTCGTCTATATACTTTAATGATCTCTATACAGATTGTGCCATTTTCTAGCAACACGATCTTATAATCATCCATACAGCGCTTTCAACGGTACAGCTAGCTTGAATTGAACTTCCATTGTTGACAATCCCGCCAGATAACAACTTCAACTCAAAATATATGATATGCGAGATCCTTAACTTCACTCAAAAATATAGAAAGTATTGACTAAGCTATTAGATATAACTTTCATTATAAATTATTCTTTCAGAAATATTTATCTCATGTATGCTACAATGAAAACAATATTAATACCATTTTGTTTACTTCTCAAGTATTTTGAATTCAACTTAGCATACAATCATCAGCTCTCCTTACAAAAACAAAAGTACTCATCAAGCTACTCGACACGAACTTCATCATAAACTATTCATACACCTACATTCATCTCACAAATATTCTACAATCAAAACAGCAGCGACACCATTTCGCTTACTCCTCGGGTATCCTGAAACCAACTCACAGTATAATCCTCTCTGAATCTAAACAAATCACACTACCTTTTTCTAACCAAAAGAATAATTTACATCTCACACAAGGTACCTCTGCTCCTATCAATACATCTCGATATGATAATTTGGAGATATTAATTTATCTTCCAATTGTCGGAAATCTGTATACTTTTACAAGCAGAATAGAGAAGGTTGAAAGCCGAATCCGACTGCATCATTAGTCCTTACAGGCATGACGGGTTTCTATTCAGCGATACTTGTCGAAGTCCGAAAGAAAAAGTTCAACATTTGGGCGAGGAAGGAGGAGGGAAAGAGCTTGTATGATTACGTATAGAACCTTTATATCCGAATCCAGTCAGATGGTAGGCACGAACTTGAAGCAGCTCGAGAGTATGTATCCATCAGCGGCAACACAGAGAGATTTATACGCGAAGTGTGATCGTAGCAGGTGAATTTTGGATCTTTTGACCTCATGTATTGCCAATATGATGTTCCGTAAAGTCTGATCTTGGGACAGTATACGTAGATCTGTTTTGTTCTTCCAAGAATTTATGAATAAACTCCGACGATAATGACCTTACGAATCTCTCATATGACTGATTTGAAAGTATGGTGCAACAGAATGTCAGGAATATGACATCCATTGACATCATACCGACACTATACGAGATCTTACAATTGCATTTTGCTCTTTCCTACCGAGGATTCCGGCATCCAAGACTCCCTGTATAGATATTAATGCTCTTCTACAAGCCTCTTGCTTGCTCACGCGAAACCCATCACCGTATATTTCTCCCCACTTCTGCCGTGTTTCGCATAATTTTCTTTGAGAGACGCAGCCCCGTATTTTGGGTGGGTCGTCATAATCGGGGTAATGTTCAATAAGATACTTCCATGTCCTGTCATTCCTAACGATGTCATCAAAAAGCATAAGACATCTATTAAGTTGCCGTGTTTCATTGTGTATCAGCCACACTCGAAATCAGGCCACCAGAGCTCAAGTTTCAAAGAAGACTACAAACAGATTAATACCATGAACCTTGAGGAGGACATACCAATTGACAATCATGATACTGTATCAAATTGCGCGCTAGGATCAAATGATGGCATGATAGCGAACCCGCTCCGAGAAGTCAAGCGCTTGTGCTGCCGTCACTATCGGCTCACAAACATGATTATGATACCCTTCAGGTCCCTACGGCGAAGCTTCTGGGACTTTTGAATGTATTCCATTGCTCTCCATGGCATTCCGGGGAACCCGCTTGTTTGAGCGTCATTCCAACCCTTTGGCTTAAATTGATCTTGAGTCCGTATCAGTAAAGGTATACTCTGAAGTCAGTGGCATTGCCGCTAAGTCTTGAGCGTCGTGCTGTCTCGCCTTACAGATTCTGCGATATCATGCTTCATAAGCAAGAAGGTGTTAACGAGTATGAAACATTTGGATGAAAGACTGGACAGCCACGGATAATCTATCTGACTGGGCAGTATTCAATAACCATGATCGTTGAGACCCGCTACCCAATAGTCTGCCTCCATGGCAATGGCCCCCGGAGGGCTAGCGGAGCGTCTTCTTAAAATGACTACATTCATAACGGCAAGCCATCCAGAATTTTGGAGGTATCTATCAACTAAGCCTATGTGAATAGAAACTGGCTGTGGATTGACCATCAAGCATTTTTAAGATATTCAAATACTAAATGAACATCAGAGAAAGAGTGAGAACTCGCAAATAACAGCGACAGACCCGACTGGGATTCTGTATCTCCTCCGGAGTAGAAAATACACAGCTGTATATAAGTAGCTCAACACCACCAGAACCACCAGAGTCCCTAAACCTCTCACTCTCCAAATGAAAAAACCCCCCCACAACTTTCGGCATAGTTTCGGGACCGAAGTTTTCCAATCCCGTCCGTATTCATATATATCCAAAAGAGTCAATTTGATTGCCACTCGACACCATCACATCTCTCACATTCCCGCAATGACTCCATCCATCTACTTCACGATCTCGAATAGATTACCCGATCCCTAAAGCTTAAGTTATAATGGCCAACAGCCCTTTTCTCGCATCCAGAATGTTCTAATTCCTATAGGGCTTACTTCCCCATTCAGACTTCATATTACATACTACAAATTAACAAGTAAACATCCTAACCAACCTCAAACAACAATCTAGTCAATCTGTAACCTATTTGTATACCCGCATCAAACAACTTGTTTCCCTCATCAAGCCATGAAGTTCAGATGTTTGGACAGGGTGTCGAGTAGATAAATAGATAAATAGATAAATAAATAAATAGATAAATAAATAAATAGATAAATAAATAAATAGATAAATAAATAAATAGATAAATAGATAAATAGATAAATAGATAAATAGATAAATAAATAAATAGATAAATAGATAAATAGATAGATAGATTGATAGATAAAGCTAGCCTCCGTGCTTTTTCCAGTTTATTGAAATGTCATGAGATGGAGGACTCTGGCTGTCCGTTTCGTTTGTAGGCTGTGGATACGGAATTATGGGCCCTACGAGACGAAGCGAAATGAGGATATATGAATTGGACGGAATAAGCAGTGACATCTCCAGGTTTGTGCTTGCTCTGGAATGGGGAAATATTGTTAAAGTATCCACCCCTTTTGGGAGCGTACCAAAGATACCGTTTCCCGTAAAGGAAAGGGAAGGAGGAAGGATTAGTTGTGTTCAGTTGGTGATTGATTGATTGATTGATTGATTGACTGATGGTTGATTGATTGATTGACTGATTGATTGATTGATATTTGAGTTGTAGCTAGGTAGTATTGGATGATGGATTAGGTAGATACAAAAAGTTTATGCGGAAGGAACGAAGACCATCGTAATGAATAAGCTGAAAATAAACCTGACATCCAGCGCTTCGCCATACCAAGTCGTGATTGCGATAGCTACATAAGCACACTTACTCATTCATACTCATGCTATATACGCCGTGTACCCTATCTTTAGTTTTCCCATCTTCAACACTGCACTCCCTCCATCTAACGCTTCCATCCCATGATTCCCATCCCGCCTTACCAAATACAAGTGGAACCTACCAAACTTCTCCCTCACTAACTATCGAAAGACAAAATCAAAACATCTACCAGAAACAGCCAGCGTAATCTCAACGGCCAGGAATTCCATTACCTTTTCTAGTTGTACATTCGTAAGGTTTTCATCATTCCGTACGGTTTAAAATGAACCAACGTTAACACGAAACACTTTTTGGCCTGTACTTGGGAAGGTTAATATAAAGTCATCTTTTAGAGAGCTACATGGGTACCAAGCTTGGCAAAACACGAGATTGTGGGTAGGAAGCTACTCCGTATCTGTAATCCGTGTGAAGGCTAGAATGGGATCGAAGGCTAATGTTGGGGACTTGCGCTCAAAGAGTCTTCTAGAGTGATAAGATGAAGGAAACTCATTTTAGAGATTGAGTATTTTATTTTGGAGGAATGGAAGAGGGTGATGGATGAATTGGCATCCATGGTCCGAGACATGAAATTTCTCCTTCCTTTCGATTTCGACCAATTCCCGAAATCTCATCTCATATTGGAGAAGTGGAGAGCGCGTAGCTGGGCGTTTACAAGAGTGAAAAATCTAGAACCATCTTGTCTGTCGTGAAGGACATCCCATAGATTTTATTCAATAATACTCTTGGATTATAACTCATCAGTCCGGGGTGTTTGATAGGCGTTTGCATATTCAGGGGTAATTTTTTTTTTGGGTGCAGGGTAATGGCTAGGACGGGTGAAGATCGTCGTGGACATGAGATTGCTTTTATGCAGGCACAGTTTCATGAACCGTTGTGCGATGCGCCATATGTTCAAGTGAAGAGCTGTGCTGTGTTGTGGGGATCAGATTGGACAACGATGAAGATTTGTTTTGTAGGTTCAACTGTTGAGTCGGGCGTTTGAGCAACTGAACACTTTGGGCTGAAGAAGAAAGAAAAGATCAAGGCGGTTGAAGAAAAAACCAATGCCGTGGCCTTATGATCGGCCTTTTTATATGGATGATCAAGATTTGAGATTAGATTTGCTTTTGCTTTTACTTTGCCCTATTGCCTTATGAGGTGGTGATGCATGATGCTAAAATGATTTATTTTAAAACACTGCGCCTCGTGAACTTTACCTTACCTTGGGTTTGGTAACGATGTCATTGATTTCTTCATGGTTGCTGATACATTTTTGAAGCTTCGGGTGTCGTGAATGATGATGGCTGAGTAAATACGATGTCGAAGCAAGACGGAAAGGAGTCCGGTCTCAAACGCCAATGGAAGCTCCCGATGAAGGGGCTTGAATCGCTTGATAGATAATTGACAAGCTATAGCACTCCAGCTAATCATACTAACAAATACCACCTCCAATCTATCAAACCTTTCTTTGACCGAGTACGTAGACTTTGAGGCTTTATCATTCGACGACCATCGGACCATGAGTAAGTGAACAACAATACATGACCAGCCGGTATCGTCTCAATGAGGGGTTTTCCGTCCTTCAACATCCATCCAGACTGGGGAAATTTACACTACATGCCGAAATGAACCTTGACAGAAATTAAAGACGGTCAGATGAAATTGAAGGTCGGCCACGGAAAGCTTGGCCTTCTTGGAATCTCAATTACCTCAAAAAGTAAAATTATGAATCATGATTAATCAAAAGTTCAAGCACAAAGCAACAAAGCACAACACATCATCGTACAGAAAGAGAAAAAAGAAGTTTTGGATTTAAGAAAATCCCCTCCATCTAAGTTTTCCTTCACCAATCATTCCTATCTGAGCCAATAGATAAGTAATTTCCGAAAGTCTGTTGTTATTGATATGTGGGAAGTCGTCATGACATCTTATATACTTTTGACCAATTCGTCCAACTGTAATCTACTCAAGGAATACGTACGTCGTGGTGCAATGAAGTGACAAGATGAATCCTGAATTTCTAGATACGATACGATACGATACGATGTCAGACTATCTGGGTACCTACCTACTTACAGGACATGCTTCGTGCATAAATTGCGCGCATATATATATATTGCATTATCTACAATTTATGTTTTCATATCAGATCAGACATATATGCAAACAACCATAGTACATACATAGTACATACACACCTGAATGCATAGATACGGTACATAGATCATTCCATGCGATTCGACTCGCATTCACGCAGAAGAAACATTCAAAACGAAGAGGCTTAAACCATATGTCGTAATCATCCAACTATACCGACTACGGGATGAACGATTCATTTTATCTGAGTAGCAACTGTATCATCCAAAGATTCACATTCATGCAGAAACCTAAAGGAGAATTGCATGTATCTATGAGATGATATGATATGATATGATATGATGAATCATGATCTTTCAATTAACCTTTTCTTCTCTACGCAAACTCAAAATGTAAATCAACTCACATTGTTAGTGTCCGTTTTGTTTGTTTAGGATGTTCGGTAGGTAGGTAGACACTGGTAAGTAGCTCAGCTCCTCAGTAGCTCGAGAGTAAGTAGGCTGTTTACACTACTGCGTAGGGAAAATTTATAGTGTGGGTTTCACCAACCATCATGAAAATTGAGTAGAGCAAGCCAACCGAATCCTTTGAAACGAAGATTAGTGCCCTTCAACTTCTCAATGCTTGCTTGGACCGGTTTTGCTCCGCCCATTAGGAAACCAGAATATGATGAGAATTATGGATCGGAATTCATCGATTCATCTATACATCTAATCAGCTTATACGGACGAGACCGATTGGGCATTTTTATACTTCTAGCTTCCCTCCCGAATGTGGAAAGCTTGTATTCTTTGAGTAATGATTCTATCACCCTCCGTGGTCATGATTCTTACAAAATACCCCTATTCTCCCATCTCATTGGAAGAGAGGATGGAACACGCAGAACTCTCTCGCAACCGCACATCGTGATTGGTTCTCTTTGCACAAACATGAGGGATCGGGATATTAACAACCCCTGAAGCGATAAATAACATAGCCTCTCAAAAACGAGAAATCCTCCAAGCTTTCGCGTTCCAAGGTTCCGATGACTTTCCAGGGTCAATTGCGGTGAGATCCTCTTCACGACCTGGGTTAGCTGTACCTGCATCACACCCATGTGCGTTGGAACCGCGCCGCCTGGGTGTAAAATGTGGCAAGCATAGCGAAAGAAAGAGAAAGAAAAGAAAAAAAAAAAGTCTTTTCTTGCCCGCAGCGTTATAATGGAGAATGGTACCATACCAGAGCGAGCAGAGTAGCCATACACGCCCCCTTCCCCATGGATCCATCCTTAACACATTTTCCCATTTTATTCTCCTTGGACCAAGTAGGTAGTATTCGATATTCAAACCCAGGAAATCCCCCCTCATCCATGTTCAATTCATAATTAATCCCACTTGTCCAGGGTTCCACTCATTATTTTTCTGTGCCCACCCTCCCCGTCCGTTTTGCCCATTTCCTTTTAATAATTCTCCTATAGCGAGAACCACCGCACCCTTCCTCAATCCTTTCTTTAAAAGATTCCTCCACCCTCCTTTTTCAACACAAGATCTTCCTTGATCACTACACAGTCATTACCAAGTCCCTTTTGCACAAAAGAGTTCCTTTCTCTATTTCCAACTCAACAGTCATTCTTTACCTTGAAAGCATACACCTTTTTGCGGAATCGACTTTCGCTCTTCAACACCAACGATTCATCACGACCACTTATACACAAGTTTATCAAAACAGAAAAACAATTTGGGTACATAGCCATTCTTCTTTGGATTTTTCAGACACACTTAGGATAGCATTGACTGCTTGGGAATATATCGCATCAGGAAGGAACATATCATTTACGAGGAATCTAGAATTTACATTTATCCTTCGATATCAATCACCATGCATTTCACAGCTGCTTCCTTGGCTGTTATGGCCGGAGTTGCCGCCGCTTCTCAACCAGGTCACTACTACCCAAAGCGTATTAACAACGGTACCATCTCTGCCACCGCTACTGACAACGGTCAAACCACTTTGACCGTTTTCGCTACCACCGTCCGAACCATCACCTCATGCGCTGCTTCTATCACCAACTGCCCAGCTCGTGCCACCTCAGCCGTTGAGGGAGCTTCCACCACCCCAGAAGTTATCGTCGTTACCGACACCGTTACCTTGGCCACCACTGTTTGCCCAGTCACCGAGGCCGAATCTGCTAGCGCCGTTATCACCAGCAAGCACTTGACATCTGCTCTTGCATCCCTCTCATCTGCCATCGCCAGTGCTGCAAGTGAAAGCTCTTTCTACGGTGCTACCACCACCGTTGCTACCCCAGCTGCTTCCAGCGGAGTTGTTGGTGCTTCAACCACGGCTTCATCCCCCGCATCATCCGCCACAGCCGATGCTTGCGCATCCCAATGTAATGCATCATACAACTCCTGCCGAAGCGCTCCAGATGCAAACAGATCCCTCTGTGCTTCCAACTATGCATCATGCCTCGGATACTCTCCATTTGACAGCACCGGATCACTTGTCACCCCAACTGCTTGCTCCTCGTCAGCAGCATCAACTGCTCTCGGTGTTGAGACTAGCCCAGCTGCCTCCGGTGTTGTTGCACCATCTGGAGCTGTTCCATCTGGAAGTGCCCCAGCTGGTTACGCTTCTTCCCCAGCTTCTTCCCTCGCTGTTTCCTCTCTCCCAGCCGCCGCTGTCTCCAGCGCTCTCGGTGTTGAGTCCAGCCCAGCTGCTTCCGGTGTTGCCGCACCAACCGGATCCTCCCCATCCTCCGTCGTTGTTCCTCTCGGAACTGGCGTCGTTTCCGCCGTCCAAACCGTCACTGCCAACGCTAGCCACACCTTGACTTACACTCTCGGCTCTGGTTCTTCCACCACCGTTGTCACCACCACCATCATTGAGACCTCCGCCTCTACCATCTACGCCACTGTTACACCAACTCAAACCGTTGCCGCTTCCTCTGGTGCCGGATCCCCAGCCGGTTCCGCCGCTGCTTCTTCCGAGGCTGGTGTCGTTTCCGCTGGTGAATCTACCACTTCCCAAACCACCACCATCTATGGTACCTCCACCTCCACCCACTACGTCACCGTTTCAGCTGTTTCCTCTGGATCTGCTGCTACTGGTCTCGCTGGTGTTACCGCTATTGCCTCAGGTGCTGGATCTGCTTCCCCATCCGCTTCCGCTGGTGCTTCCTCTGGTGAGACCACTGGATCTGGCTCTGGCTCTGGCGCTTCCGGTTCCGGATCATCTGGATCTGAGACCTGTGCTTGCGCCGAGGCTGCCACTGTCACCGTCACTGCTACCGTTGCCGCTCAAACCGTCACCGTTGTAAGTTTATAATCATTTACGCCTTTCAAAAGACTCATCATACTAATAATCATCTTTAGACTGCTGCTGCCGCTGGATCTGATGCTACTGGTGCTCTCTCCGGTATCCAAACCGCTGTTGTCTCCACTGACTCTGCCGCTGCTACCACTGATGCTTCCGTCGTTGTTAGCACTGCTACCGTTGTCCCAATCCCAGCCACCACCGCCGCTGTCACTTCCATCCCATTCTACGGTAACGGAACTGTTGTCACTTCCACCAAGAAGTCCAAGTGCGCATCTTCTGGTTTCTTGACCAGCAAGGCTAAGCCAACTGGTGCCAAGCCAACTGGTTACTAAATTCTTTCCACAAAAGGAGTGAATTTTGTATATCCTTGAACTCGATGTGATCAACTGCTTCTTGACAGCGAAGTAAGTGATTGTGTATGAGCAAAGATGTTGAGGTGGAGGTTTCCTTTGTTAAATGTACATTGTTTTTTTATTGCTAAATATTTATGAAGAGGATTTGAAGATGGAGCAGGATCAGACAGTTTAGAAGATTGGGGATTGATGTAAGGGATTGATATCAATGAAGACAAAACAAAAACCAAATACTTTCTTGTGCATTATCATTTTTAGAGTTTTATGTATGCGTTTTATTGTGTTTTTCTTGAACATTTTGCTTGCTTGTATGTTTTTAGTCATCAGGTTATGACTAACACTTCTATGGAGTTCTTGCATATGATGGCACGATGGGTTTGGAGGATAGTTTTTTCTTTCTTTGCATAAGCGTATCAATTTACAGATTCATGAACGTATTTCTTGTGTGGTATTGTGCAATCTTCTATTCCTCTCTTCTGATGTGCTGTGCAGAACGATGTAAACAATTGAGGAGGTGTGATGTTAAGTACACAAGGTCGCTTGTCAGCAAAGTGCTATGTTCTTGTAAATAGCTTAAAATCAATCAACGATGGTACCTAAGTTCCATGGACTTTTACACTAGACTCTATGATATGATGAAATGAATGAATAAACAACATATCTGTGATCGCAACATTTGAATTTGCCACACGGGTGCGAAGGATTTAGACGGCAGATTGAGGATGGTGGAGGGGTAGTATTGATTCCTCTCGTTCCTCTAGAGAACAATCATGCTACACTATGACTACTATCATGTGGTACGCGATGGATCTCAAGCATTTGGCTTGATTACTACATCTCCATCTCACTACGGAGTGTGAACTTGAATCCTAACGAAACTTGTGCTAACAATTCTCATTCTTACCTCATCTTCAACCTCTGATTCGTAATCATTCATTTAGCTACTCAGCTACCTCCCACTTTCGAAGGAGGGTAATCGAAGACAAGTGAAACAAACATATCACTTATTGCACTGGCATTCAATTTCACCGCAACGGGAAATCTATTCTGGGACACCTCATCCGAAATGAAATTTTTCTCTTCTCCAACGGAGAGTGCGAATGCAGCGTGAAGAAATTGGAATGGGAGAGATCGGAAATCATATACTGGATCTAGTATGTACCCTGGAAGATCATTTGTTTGATATCCATCTTGATTCTCGACGCTCGTCTGGCGTATGAGCGTGTGTTTTGTCTGTCTGATGAATTGTAGTGGGAAGGAATGAATGGGTCATGGAAGTAAATAAGTATGAGGGGACTTTTTCGACGAATGAGATAAGAGAAAGCGTACTCTGTATAAGCTTTGGAAGTTGGAACTCGGGGTATGGTATGTATGATGTTGAAATGCGGTGGGGATTTGTCTGTCTGGAAGGTAAGACATTCTGTCGCATGCATGGACTTTGGTATGTATGTATGTTTTGTGGGTGCGTATGATGTGGGTAGTGTTATGATGATTGATAAGGGTCTGAAGATTTGATTGAAGGATAATGCGTCTGATGGAATAGGTAGGAATGAGGGATGGATACAGACTCGAATATTCGATGATATTGTATATGATCATATAAACATTGAATATAGAATTTATTCTAGATGTTGATATGATTGATATCAATATTGATGTTGACAATATTCTTTCTTCTCTTCCCTTCCCTTCAAATGTTCCATGTGATTCTTTCTTTTCCCCATCCCCTCCCATGCCATCACTAAGCACCATCGCATAATGGTCGTTTTCAGCCAAGCCAAGGGCTAATAATAAAAGTAAATGTCTGGGACTGTTGCCATTATCATCACTCTCACTCTCACTCTCACTCTCACTCTCACTCTCACTCTCACTCTCACTCTCACTCTCACTCTCACTCTCACTCTCACTCTCTCTCACCCACCCTCACGGTACGAGTATCATGACTCGAAGAATACGAATTCAATCTTTACTCTTCACACCAGCCTCTTCAATTAACCTCTGATTTCTTCTTCATACCTACCACTAATACATACATAGTACATACATACTATTAGGAACTCATTCATTCATCCATTGTACAACTTCACTCAACTGTTTTATTTAACGGTGTCTGCCTAGGTACTGAGGTATTCTACCCAATCTTTTATCTTACATTGCATTGCATTACCGATACATTTACCTTATCCTCAATTCTTCTGGAAGGCGGATACGAAAGATTGCTGTACTCTTTACTCTTCACCCTCTCCCTCTACTCTCTACCCTTTCACATCTTTATTCTTGTATTTACTATCTTCGTGGGACGTTTGGATTCAAATCGAATGCACGGTTCATAATCCAATTCAATCCAATTCAATTCAATTCAATTCAATTCAATTCAATTCAATTCAATTCAACTCCGTACCAAGATTCACCTTACGAAACAGTCATCATTTTCAAATCAACCACATCATATTTACTGGTACATACCAAGCTATTCATCACCACCCAAGTAGCAACTACCACCATCTGCAACCTGCGAACACTTTCAACTTTCAATCCTCGACAAAAACCCACCGCCCCACCCAAAGTGCCCCAACCATACCTCTACATATACACAATGCGTCGTGCATCTCAAGATATGAGCGATCCCGACCGTAATATTATGGAATCAACCGGTATGCCAGAAGATCCCGTAGACCTCGATCTCATATCCGAGAGGGAAGATTCCCCTTCAAATCGAATTCATACACCACCACCACGCATCGCTGCAAGGTTCTATCGCCCCACCAACAATCGACGTAAATCTTCGGCTGCATCCTCGAGACGAAATTCCATTTCATCAGTTCATTCACATGGCTCGAGTCGTCATGCCGCGGGCCACGCCGGTATGCCGGGTCCGCAGAGCAATTACATCGCTCAACATCTACGTAGAGCGAGTATACTGGAAGATCGAAAGGCTAGATTGGCCGATAGAGCAGCACATGCGGAGAAAGTCAGATTGAGGGCGGCATTAGCCAAGGCAGCACCGAGAAGTACGACGAATACCGAGGAGAGAGCTTTAGCAGCGCAACAAGCGAGAGAGAAGAATCTGGCAGAGATTGTCGCGAGTTGTGCGGAGGAAGTTAAGAGGGCAAAGGGTATTGCGGAGACTATGAAAGAGAGAAGGGAATTAGAAGGGAAGAAGCTTAGAAAGGAGATGGAGGAAAAACTTGCCGAGGCTGAAAGGAGGCGAGAGGAAATCTTGAGTCGAAATAATAACAGCAAACAACGAGGAAGAAGTTTGAGTAATATGAGAAAGAGTTCGAGTCCAAGTCCAGTTGCGGAGATAAAGAAAGCACCACTTACCGAATCAGCGGCAGCAAAGATAATTCAAACTAGATGGAGAGTTCATAGACGTTGGAAGGCATTACATGATTTTGCAGAACTGGGACTCACAATTGATGGGGTTCGCGAGACTTCATTTGAGAAAGTGGTTGATTTGTTGGCTCAAGAGAAAGTTCTCCTTAGTACGGCACACATTCTGAGAATTTGTGGACTCAAAGAAGGAGAGAGCGGATCAGTCAATGAAATGACAGCAGTCCGAACCTTTCTCAGCGCTTTCCTAATCCTTGGTCACCCTACACAGGTTTTGAGTAGTAAAGGTGATAAAGGAGAACAGGAACAGGTAGGAGCGCAACCAATGAAGAGGGATGATTTGGCTAATCCACAGTTGCAGGACCTCGTTGCAAAAGCCCGAGATCTACTTATTTCTTTTGAAACTGTTTTGTCTAGATTGACAACTGCAAACAATTATACGCCTCCTCCAGCTCAGCTATCAACATTGTCGGAAGTTTATGCAACATTCTTCAATGCTTTTATCGCGTGGAAATCTAGAGATGCAAGTACGCTTATTGATATGATGGTTTTACAATTTGTAGAATTAGATTCGATATGGCAAACTGTGAAAGATAGTACGGAAGAATCTGTCACTGATTCATATCGTGATGGAATCAGAGACAATCAACTTAAATTGATGGTTAGGATCAAGAGACTTGCCGGACCAGTTCAGGGGAAACGATTGATTTCAAATGCTATCCGGGAAGCAAGAAAGGTTAAACAAACCAAACAACCTACTGGGGATTCAAAACCTCGTGCGGCGGAAACAAGATCAGCATCTCCTGTCATTGAAGATTTTAATGCTTCCGATAATGCCGTTGCATCTCATTTACAAACTCTCACACCACCTGCTACGCCTGTCAAACAACGTCGTGGACAAGTTACCGATGCAGATAATTTAAGATCAGTTAATTCAATACTTCCAGATAATCGAACTTTGGTTCATGAATTGGCCATTAATAAAGAATATCGTATCTCGATGGAAGATTGTCTTCAACAGCGAGGGGTCGTTAATCAACTTATCTTTGATTCCATGAGACAAGAAGTCGCAGCTGGGAATAGTGATCCTTGGGTTCTTGCAATGGCAGATAACATCAAGGGCAAACTTCAACGTCTCCTTACTCCTGGAAATTCAATGTACAAACTTATTGAAGATTCCCTCGATACGGATTTGGTAGCATCAGAACTCAAGAATGGCAGGTTTTCCTACGAAACTTTCTTTAATTTTATGGGCAATATTTTACCTCGATTATGTGCTCCTTTCCGAGATGACGAGGTCAAAGTTCTTGCTGAGACTACTCTCAAAGAAGGTGATTTCGTCGATCGTCTTCAAGCATTGATGCGCTTCATCGATCTAATGCAACTCGATTATGCCAATTTTATGCTTCAACAATCGGCTCCTGAACTGATCAAGCATGCTTCCACATATGAAACTAAACGTTTCTCGGAAGAAATGGAAGAGACCAATAACGATCTTACCATTACCACAAGAGCTTGGCGCGAAGCTCGTCAAAAGGTTCATACAGAAGCTGCTCGTCGAGATCGGGAGAATGTCGGGTTAGCGAGAAATAGACCTACGCCAGAGAAAACATACATTCAGATGTTGGTAGATATATGTACATCTGCGCCCGGAAGCCCAGTGCCAGAAACCTTAAAGCTGGATATGGCAAGGATTGAGACGGCAAGGAAAGATACTCTTCGAATCGTCACCACTTCAGCAATTCTTCTACAAGCCAAAAACATCCTTAAGCGAGATGTTCGAAGTCAATGGAAAACTGAAGCTTCAAGAGTTTATTCCGTGCTTGAAAATTCCAAGGAATCAGAACAAGCAGAACAAGGCATCACAGCCGCATTGGAAAGTAGTAGAAGTATGCCCATGGCTACCAAGAATCATATTCGCGAATTAGTCAAGAGAATCATGGTAGCAGCTTCGGCTCTAAGTTCTACTGAAGGTGAACTTCGTGAACCGGTCATGAAACTTTTGATGACTAGATTGAGAGGTTATCTTATTCATAGATTGGCAAAGGAAAGCCCACGGAATGATGGGAATGGCAATGAAGGAATTGCGGGGTTGGGCATGCCAGAGTTTGTGGCAAAGATTGGAGGGATTGTGGAGGTGCTTGGGAAGATGGGGAGAGTAGACAAGGATGCTCATGGACTCTGGTACGAGGTTGTTGAGACTGCAGCTGCGAGTGAGGTTGAAGTTTGACTTGGATTTTATCTTTGAGGAGTGGTGATTGGATTTTATGCGGTTCCCGGATTGGGGTTCTGTGTATACCTCCTTTCGGCGGGCGTCCTGGGGCTTGGGCTTCATTACCTTGCAGGAATGGATGGGGATTCGGAGTGGGGTTACTTTGATTTGAAATAAGTATGGGAGTTGGTGGCTTAAGGATTTATTTGTTTACCTGCTTGTATGATTTCTTGCCTTGCTTTGGGATGGTTGGGATATTATATCATGGATGGATGGACGGACGGACGGATATGAATTACGACCTTTGTTTATTACTTGGCCTCTTTGCTTTTTTGGAGGGGGTAATGGATGGGGGAACAGATAGAGGTTTGACACATACAGCGTGGTAGGCATTGGTGTGGTTTGTATTTCATATCGCGTACTCTGTCTACATATAGCATAGCAATGAGTGCAGTAGGGGTTTCGTCCTTGGTATACATGCATATATTTCATAAGTCGTCATGGAATGGAATAGTGATTGAATGGGCTGCAGCGGAGGACTGGGATCATTTCTACCCCTACCTTGATCAGTCGGATACTTGTTCATTTAATCAATTATCATTCAATCATTCAATCAATCAACCAGTTCCATACAGCCAGCCAGCCAACCAGCGTATCACATACAAACCATCTCTCTTCCAATGTATATATGCATGTGACTAAACCGTGAATTTCCATCATCCACCTACCCCACTGTCACATCATATTATATCACATAATCAATACTCACGAATCCCAATTCCCCCCTCCTTTTCCCCTCCTTTCTATATGTGTATATTAAATATGTAATATAATATAATACAATATAATCCACACACTAGCATCGAAACACGTTATTGCAATTGAGAAAAATGACCAAGTACCTAGGTAAATTTAGTTTTGTGGTGATGAGTAATGATTAATTATTGTTTCTGGCGCTTGAAATTGAGATTTGAGTAGGTGGATAGATAAATAGATAAATAGATAAATAGATAAATAGATAAATAGATAAATAGATAAATAGATAAATAGATAAATAGATAAATAGATAAATTAAATAGATAAATAGATAAATAGATAAATAGATAAATAGATAAATAGATAAATAGATAAATAGATAAATAGATAAATAGATAAATAAATAAATAGATAAATAGATAAATAGATAAATAGATAAATAAATAGAAAGATTAATCATAATATTATTTCCTCTTGCTTTTAATTTTCCTTTTTGTTTTCTCACCTCCAACTTTTTCCTTATTTTCATATTCATCTCATCTCATTGTTCGTTCGTCCGCTGGTTATTTCCCGCTAGTTGTTTCGTTATATGATGCATATACACACACATGCATATACATATAATAAGTATGTACGAGTATTTCTTGAACAGATTGATTGGTATTGTAAGAGTACAAGCGTGCATCTCGAAACCCCTTTTGGTCACATAAATAATAAATAAATACACACATAAATACATAAAAGTTCACTTCACCAATCCAAATCCCCTCCCATCTAACCTACTCCCTCATCCAAATCTCAACCCTGCACTTGGATCCCACGTCGTTTGTTTCGGCTGCGCTTGCGTCTGTGGCGGAGGTGCATTTTCCCCACCACCACTAGCAGCACCAGCACCGCCAAATTTAATTCCCAATTCCGGATTCCACGTTGCACCTGCACCCCCACCCATATTAACACTATTTGCAAAAGCGCCCGGCATACCTCCTACATTCCCTACTCCCCCAGGACCCGCACCCCCAACATTCACCGGCGTACTCTGCAAACTCGCTCTCTGTGGAACCGGTGCTTGGATCGGACTCATTTCTCTCCTGGGACTGGGTACTTCGCCGTCCTGCATCTGCACCGGGATAAGCGGCTGTGGCGGTGGTGGCGCATGATGTCCTCCTATGCTCACTCCCCCACCAACTCCTGGTTGAGGATGATGTAAACTAAGACTGCTCATCGGTTTCAACGGCATACTTAAATCCGCTTCCATTCTCCTTGCTTCCTCTCTTCTATCCTGTACAAAAGCCTTACAGCCATCTCTAAATCTCCCTACTATCTTCGCCAAATCATTGTAAAACTTCCTTCCGCCATCTACATTATTGACTATTTCTTTGTACTTATAGTATGCCATTTCAAGTTTCTGCAAGGCCTGTTCTCTCTCTCTGGTGCTTGTATCTCCGGCTCTAGCTTTAATGAATGATCCATTTGCTATTTCCAATTGTTGAAGGAGCTTTTCCTGTTCTTCCGATTCGGTTTTAAGAGAAGTGAGATCTGCATCGTAGGTATGGGAGAGGCGTCTTTCAAAGAAATCTTCAAAATGAGCTGGAACAACAGGTGTTGAAGGATATTCTCGTTCCAAACGAGCAGTTTCGGCTAGGATGCTATGATTTATATCATCCTTCTTTGCTTTCTCTCTTACAGCTTCAATTTTCCTCCTCCTTCTACTCTCCAATCTTGAAATTTCGTTCAGGGAATTCCTAAGTTTGGAAACTTCCCCTTCAAGGTTTGGTGGTATGTTAACTCGTCGGGAGCTAGGGACAAAATTTCCAATATCCCGATCTGAACTGGTAAGAATCTGAAGAATAGATTCATACTCGCGAAATTTGACGAAAACAACTTGATCACTGTTCGCCGCGCTTTTAAAATACCCTTCGATTTCATCCACTTGAGTATATAATTTCGGGGATGCAGACCGAGAGTCTAAACGATCCCATCGATCACTTCCGAATTTTCTTAGTAGTCGATCGTTTTCAGATGCTTCTGATTGTAATAGCTCTTTAGCTTCGAAAAATATAGCTTCATCTGATGCCTTGAGCTTTGCAGCATCGGAAAATGATCTATTGATACGACCAATTGCATCTGCTTGACGAAGCTCTTCCGCATGGGAAAGTAAAGTAGGAGGAAGGCCCAAAGGTTTCTCAAGGGCTTGTAGAGATCCAGGGAGATTGAGGGAACGAAGGGTATCATGGATGCGGGTTGTTAAAATCTCAAGTTCATCGATGATATTGTTATTAACAATTCGATCGCGGCGTTCTTCGTAGATACTGGCTGCTACATGAACAGCAAAAGGCACAAGTTTGGAGAACAGTGGCGGTCCAAATTCTTTGTGATCTCCAAGAAAAGTCATGGGTTCAGAAACTTCTTTTGGGATAATAGGGTTGGCCATACTTGCTCGTTCAAGGCGTTTCAGTTCGTTCTTAGGTGGTACAGGATCTACAAAGTCAGCTGGTATCCGAATAAATATATATTCGTTCGATTTATTGGGTTGTATATGGGGGCAAGCCCCCAAACCCCCATAGCTCGCTCTGCTCGGAACTTTTCTATATTGAAATTTGAAGATAGCAATATGGAGGGTTTCTCCGTGCTTCCCTGAGCCGTCATAATTCACTGCGCTCTTATAAAGAACAATGGGAATGCATAGAAGGTGCGCTGCACCCTCCATTCCCGCTGCGTTTTCTACCCACCAGCAAGCTTTCAAATCCTCATAGCACATTGCGCTCAAAATCTGACGCGCCTCCGCAACTAGTCTGCCTCCACGGCAGTGGCCCCCGGAGGGCTAGCGGAGCGTCACCCAATCAACGAACTTAGGAGAAACAAAACTTACCAAGATAAATTAAATCATTGTCCTTCTCAGCCCTTTTCAAACACTCCGTCACCATATTCTTCAACAACTGTAACTCATTTGCCACAGCTTTATTGACATATTTTATTTCCTTGATTCCTTCATTGGCGCAAACGATACTATCTGTCAACCTCGCTACCTCCTCTCCGTATTTTCTCTTCTCCAAACAATCACACGCCATGCGATATTGTGCCGCCGCCGCAAAATGATGATGTTTAACCGATGAATGATGTAGCCATTCCGAACTTATAGCATTACTCTTCATACCCCAATCCGAAGCTTGTGAATATAAATCTGACACTTTTGCAGCTAACTTTGCCACTAGAGCATCTTTGGTCCCGTTTCCTCGTGCTCTGGCCCAAAAACATTCTTGGGCTTGTGCTAACATGAGACTTTGAAGACACTCCAGTGTATCATTATCCATATCTTCTGGAGGGGAGGTGCGCAATTCAGGTATTATTTCCTCCTTTAAATGTTTGAGTACTCCCGCCGCAAGAGAAAAGTTGTTACAAGCAATTTTCAATCCATCCGCCGTTGCTCTGTTGGCAGACATGGCGAGCTGGGAATAGAGAGCCGCGAGGTTGAACATTACATTTGCGAGTTCGAATTTGAGGTTATTTTCCACAACGAGTCGGTCGATGTTGTATCCTAGAGCGGGGTACCATGAAAACTCTACTCCGATCTGTTCAGATGAGTAAGTATATATCTGCGAAACGTCGAGGGCTGGCATACATCTATAGGGAATTTACCCCCCAGCCAGGATAGTTGACCCGCATATGCTGATATCTTTCTTATTCCAGTGGTATGAGGTTCCCTGACATGAATAGCGTCTTTTCGTAAAGCATCAATAACCTCAAGGTCCTGCTTGAACATATCCGGATGTTGGTCATATTTGGTGGATATGTATTGCTTGATAGCATCTGATAATTGTAGGTTGGTAGCCTTTCGAAATGGCAGAAAGAGGATATTGCTGATGGTTGATGAATTAGCTTGCGATTTTGCTGAAGGTATGATACTAGACGAAAACTCCTACCTACCTAGCCATGATGAAATTCGATCGACTTATGGTTGTCTATGATTTGAGGGGAAAAGCTTCTGGACATCGACTTCTCCAATGTAAATAATGCGGGCGCATTTTGATACAGGGTATGGTAGATTGCGCTGGGATCGATAAGGCAGGAATTGAGGCCACAAGGCATAAGTATTTAATATAATGAGAGCTCGAGGGCAGCTTCACAAGCAACAATGATTTCTAGTAGTGGGTGAAGAAATTTGTGAAATCATGAGTACCAAGTACCTAGTTAGGTATTGTTTACTCATAAAGATTGGTAGCGATGTTGACAATTCAGTCAATTATCCAAATCCGAATAAAAATGAAAATCAAAATCAACCCACCATTGTGACCTACAGTCTAATAAATTTTCAAAGATTTGGATATCGATCTATTCTCCGTGAGAGGTCTCAGAATATGTGCCACCAAAGTGAGACTTCCGTACCGTTGATGCTGTACTTCTAGAATGTACAGAATCGTGCATGATGACCCAGGCAGGCAAATAACTACCTACCCAGTCACAGATTCGATCGAGAACAACTTGGATGGGATAGGAAACGAAGAATATTACATCTAATTTTGAATATGATTGAATATGATTGAATATGATTGAATATGATTGAACACTGATAAACCACTCACTCACTCACTCACTCACTCACTCTTGCTCTCATCTCGGTATTCTTATCATTCCGACTTTCCATACCCCTTTTGTCTGTATACCGAGTCCAGATGACAACGATTTCAACCCCCTATCCCTCGTTCAAGCCATTTCCGAAGCCATCTTTGAGATCTCAAGGGTTTCAACTCCACATATTCAGTAGAAACTCCAGAGAGAAATTACTTTATCAATGTGTGACAAACAGCCATAGTAGTACCGTACCAGATTATGAGAGAATGGGATGGCAGATACAATACGTTACATCGTCGGAGGTACTGTGTCTCTGTGTGTACTCGAGTATACTCCTCGAATGGCCATTCATCCCAAAGATCATCCGAGACAGAAACAACGACTTTACATTGAAACTTGGTTCGGCCCGTTGCTTTCTGAACAATCAGTGTACACCGTCGATGAATGAAATATAAAAATAAACTCAAAAAGCAATGCCGAATGTCGATCTTTTCTCTTACCTGTGACCATCGGTGTGTTTCGCGAGGTTGGTTGGAGTTCAAACAGGTTATGATGCTCAGGTTGTTAGAAAACCCTCCTGAGAACGTATTACTCTTGGTCATGGAGTTGACGATTGACGTGATGGTACTTGAATATTACTTGATTGAATGAAGCACTGATTGAAATGATTTGCCCCTATGTGATGATCGTTGCGGGTACTCGAGAGATACCTGGCAGGAGTGATTTGGATTTTTGGATTTGGAAGAGATAGAGATAGAGAAAATGGACAGAAAATGATGATATTTTGAGAGCTTTCTTTTCTGTACGCCAGACATCCTGGGAGTTTACGAGTAATAAATAATAATACGTACTATAGATACAATGCATATTGATCAAACCTCACTCACTTCCAGGTCAACTTCACTTCCAACAATCGTCAATTTTCATGTTGAGACGAAAAACCCTTTATCTGTATCACGAACGTCATCACTGATTCACCCTCGAGATATTTATCATCTTTACACTGAAACCAATGTTCATCTCGATTCTCCAGACTTCACTTCAGTATCGTATCTTCTTCATGTTGATTGATCAATCAATCAATCAATCAATCAATATTCGCCTCCAATCTATAAATAAACAATTAGTACCATACTCCCCTCTACCGTCTTGTGTTCCAGCCGGTGTTGTTCCAGCCGGTGTTGTTCCATAGTCCAATAGGCCAACAGTCCAGACTCCATAGAATCAATTTTGGTATGCAGCCACGACCAGCCATGCAACCACGACCAGCCAGATCTCGAATAATAAGAATGATCAATTTCCATCCCCACTTGTCCGCGCACTCCCCGCCCGCACATGTCTTACCTTTTGGCTGATTTATCCGGCACTAATCGTACTCCCTGGCACGCCGCCTGGGTAAGTTTGTTATGTAGTATGGAGCGCTGTGGTCTCATGGCCAAGAAGAAATTCATACCCCCTGAGGGTCGTACGCAATCTACAAAGGACCAACGTCAATATCACATTCACGGGGCACCATCTCTACGCAGTATCGAATCAAATCTCATACCGAGATGACTAATGGACGGAAATACACTTCCCTTTTAAGAATTCACTATCCATCTAAAATTTGAATTGGAGATATCGCAAGAGGATAATTTGGAATGGTTGGATGGTATTGGCTGAACTTGGATGGGTTTATAAAAACTGATAGAGTGAATGAAAGTCTTTGAAGAGGGGAAGGTAAATATCTAGTATTCTAGATGGATGGGTAGATATTTCCTAGTTGAGTCCTTTCTCTCTCTCTCTCTCTCTCTCCCGCTACAAGAGTCAAGAGTCAAGAGTCAAGACTCAAGACTCAAGACTCAAGACTCAAGTTTCAAGTTTCAAAACTCACGGGCAAGACTCCAGAGCTCAAGACAGTCTCAATTCAGTGAATATCATTATAATTCATCGTAGTTCATTCCCAAGATTTATTCAATTGATACTACTATGTATTAACTAGGTAGTATTATTAGTATTTCCAGTATTACCAGTACCACTTATTATTACATATAACATACAATTTCTACTACTGTACAAGGTTCATCGCTCCGTATTAATGTTTAGGGTAACTGCATATCAAAATATCAATCTTATCTTAGCTCGACTTTCCTTCTTTTTCTGGTTTGATCGATTTGGATTTGGATTGGATTGGATTGGATTTGGCTTTTTAATTTCTTAGATCTGCCCTACAACTTAACCTTCTTCTGTATCTTTCTTCTTTCTCTCCTACATCAAAAATAATCTCTCACTCACTCGTTCCTGAACTTCCGTCTTCTCTTTTTTCTTTGAAAAAGAAGGACAACTACTGTCGTTACATACACCTCTTTCTTCGACACCTCATCTTCGTCGACTCGCTCTCGGAATTCTCCATACGTATCCTTCCACCACGTCATAGATAATTTGGTGTTACTGGCTTGCAAGTATTTCCATCTCCCAACTTCACAATGGGTATGATAGGTACGGGTACCTCAATATCACCTAATAGGTTGATCAATCCTCGAAGTCCTTTCACCCGCATTGCGCTATTCACATTCATTTGCCTCACAATCATCTTCTTCACCGGACGACCTACACCAGAGAGACTGCATCAAATCCAATCAAAACTCAGTCCAAGTTCACAAGAAATCCTGACCACACAAAATGGTTCTCCCGATTGTGCCGTCAATTCAACACACTTACGTGAACTGAAAGAAAAATATGGTCTCGACGATAAAATTGAATATGCCTCCAGACAAGTCAGATATCATCGACAAGATATTGAACGAAAATCCATTACCAGACTCGACGAACACATGTTCCCTCGATATTTCGATACAATCAACATCGAGAAAGATACGGCTCCTACTACGAAATGTCTGAAACCACTCGATGTACCAGTCCCAAAGTCTGCTATCCCTGCAGATGTGAATGCTACCGAGTTCCTCTTCGGTATTTCTACCACCTACAAGAGAATCACTGATCCAAAGATTAACCCCATGCTCGATTGGTCGCATTGGCTGACCGATGGTCATGGAAATTCCAATGGAGGTGGATTGATCCTACGATTGGTCGATGCCTCGGAAAAGGAAATCAACGAAATCAAGAAAATGTTGAAAGCATATGGTATCGATGCCAAAGTCTACACTGCAGACAGCAAGATCGAAATGGCCGAGCGTTACTTCTCTCTCTTACCAGCTTTATATAACGACAAGTCCAGAAAACATCGAAAATGGCTAGTAATGTGCGACGACGACACATTCTTCCCAAACATGGATGCTCTCATTAAGAAAATGGCAACATATGATGCTAGCGAAGATTTATATATTGGTAATCTTTCTGAGGATGTTGGTAGTCTTGCACGCCATGGAAGCCAAGCTTATGGTGGAGCTGGAGTTTTCTTCTCCGTTCCTTTGGCCGCGACAATTACAGATCTTTTCCCTCAATGCAGCACTAAGCAAAAGGTCGAAGAAGCAAATTCCGGATGGGGTTCTCAAGGTGATATCCTTCTCCGAAAGTGCGTATACGAAAACACCGAAGTCCGTTTAACTGTCCTTCATGATATCTGGCAATTGGATATTGTTGGTGATCCATCAGGGTTCTATGAATCCGGCATCAGACCACTTTCTCTTCATCATTTCAAGGGAGGAATGTGGCATGAAGCTCAAGTTTTCGAATCCACTAAAATTCAACAAGTTTGTGGTGAAGATTGTTTCCTTCAAAGATTCCAAACCAGAGATAACTTTATCCTCACAAATGGTTGGTCCATTGCTCATTATCCTAAGGGAATCGATTTCAACCTCCATCAAATGGAAAGGACATTCAACGCATTAGGTGATGATGGAACAGGATGGAATCTCGATTTCATGTTTGGACCTCAAAGAATTCCTCTTCGTGAAACTGGACGAAAAGTTTCATGGGATCTTGCTGAATCGGAATTGAGAGCAGATGGAACGGTTAGACAAACCTACATTCGAAAGAAGGATGATTGGAGGTGGAAAGATCACAAGGATGGAAAGAGAATGTATGATGTTGATGGTGTGTTGGAATTGATTTGGACTCTGTGAGGATATTATTGAGCTTGACGGAGGGAAATATATGTTAATGGGAGAGGAATTGATTGATGACTTATTTATACATTCTATGCCGAAAGGGGCGTTTCTGGCTTCTTGCTTTAGGGATGGAAAATCGGATCTTCCCTTTTTTGTACACACTCTTTGGCGAATCCAAGGTAGAATGGGTCGGGTCGGACTGGGCTAGACGGATAGTACCAGGAATGCATGGGTATGGCGTTTTGTCGAATACATTTATATGGAATACATACTCGAAGTATGAAGAGCGGATTAGAGGAGAGGGGAAGAAGAGAAAAGTTATAGAGGTATACATCATCCAGTAACTACAGATAGAATATGGATAAGCTTCCTTGGTTCTTTCAGCATTCGTGCGTCAGATGAGAATGAGACAGAACGGGGAGGTCATATAATAGAAAGTCTTTATTCACAGAAATTTTGAATTGGGAATTTTAAATCCTTTTGTATGATGTGATGTAGTACTAAGATGGGGCTCACTCCAAGCCAAGAAAGAGAGTGGATGAGTGTGGATGATGACAGCGCGTATCGTATCGTATCGTATCGTAGGGCTGCACTGCATTCGGTGCACTGTACATCGATCGTAGATTAGGATATGGTAGGGCTGAAGGAAGGTGGAAGGATGGAGTAGGTAGGGAGATTTTGTACGTCAATATTTACGTCAATTTTTACTTGGCTGGATGGGCATGGGATGGGATGGATGTGGATGGAGATGCATGGGGATATGGATAGGTGTCGTATTAATTTTATTCTGGAAACGAGGAATGCGATGTTTAGGTGTTGGATCGGTGGACTTTCTTTATTATATATACTCGTAGAATTTTTTTATAAATATGTTGGTTTGTTTTGTTCTTGGGGGTGGAGGGAGTGGGTGGTGGAGGGGAGGGGAGGGGATGGGAGGAGGAGTTTTGTTATTTATGTGTATGTGTGTGTTTGTGTGTTTATTTTTGTGGTTATGGTTGAGATTAGAGAGTAGGTGAGTGAGTGAGTGGGTGGGTGGGTGAGAGTGAAGGTTCTTGGGGTGGAAATGCCCGTATGCATAGGTAGTAGGTAGATAGGTAGATACGTGGGTAGGTATATGCATATATGTATTCGAGGATTGATGATTCTATGGTGAGATGAGCTAATGCGATGCGATGCGATGCGATGGTATGCTATGCTACGGTATGCTATGAGAGTCTGCGAGTGGGATGGATGGCGAGTGGGATAGATGGATGGATGGATGATTGTGTTGATTTATGGAAACATATCACGTTTTTCTTTTGTCTTCGAGCTTCATATTCTTTCTCCATCACGAATGCGGCTGGACTTTGACCTAGCTACATCTCTCTTCTTCATTCCGCATTCTCCTTCGCTTCCCACCAATATAACTTCTCCCCCGTAATCCATTTCCCCACCGACGTTCCTACGAATCCCTTCAATCCCTCTTTAATCTTCTTGTTCTCCTGTTTTCCCTTTCCTTTGAATTTCGAACTTCCCTGGCCTTTGCGATGCGGGTCCGGTCCGCTGTATAGTTTAATCATCGCTCGCACTTTTGTGGAGCTGATATCTTTTCCTTCGAGGCCTGGAGCCATATATATCTTCTTATCTTCTATCCATCCTTTTTTGCCTCCTAGACTGGGTAGTTCACGTTGCATTTTCGATAGGTATGCATCTTGGTCTTCTTTTGTGCAGTCTTTGTCGACGCGGTAGGTTACGCGAAGCTTGTGGTTTGAGAGGAAGGGGATAAGGGGGGAGAGATCATGAGTAGGTGGATAGTATTTAGGATTGAAGACGCGGATTAGAGTGTCGTAGCCGGTGCAATGGATGTGTGTTGTTGAGGGTGGATAGAGGGAGGAGGCTTCTATAGCGGCAGATTTGTCGTGGAAGTAGGGGAGAGATGTTAGGCCTATATCTATGTTGATTTTGGGCCTCGAGTTGGGGCTAAAAGATGGTAGGGATTCGGATGGAGGAGATTGGGGAGGGGAAGATTTGGATTCGGAATTGGAATCGATATCTGAGGATTCGGCGTCCGAAGAATCGGATTCAGTCACTTCGGATGATTTCCCATTCAAACGATCAAGTTTCTCCTTCTTGTAATGATAAGCCGAATGAGGATAATACCAATTCGTCAATAAATCATTCGCAAAACATTCCATGCCCACTAGTCTCTCCTCCAAACTCGCGCCGGTAATCTTTTTATCGGCATTTTGCGTACTGAGTAGGATTAATAACCTCGCATTTGTGTGACCTAATTCGGAAGAAGAGTAGTGATCGTTTAGAGCGGAGAGGCAGATATGTGCGTGTGCGAGGGTAGGCGGATTGAAGGAGGAATCGAGTATGTAGAGGGTTTGCGGGGTGCTGGGATGAGAGGGAGCTTGATGGTCTCGACTTGGGGTTTTCGGATGGCCTAAAGATTCATTGGATGCGGTACTCGTAGTCGTGGGAGGGAAGTAAAGGGGCCCGCGATAGGCATCGTATGCATCGAAGGTAATGGAAGTGAGGTTTTTGGGTGTGGGAGGAATGGGGGGTAGTGGTGTGGGTGGGGATAGGGTGCGCAGGATGCGAAAGGTAGAGGGGGAGGAGATGAAGGATGAGAGATTACTAGTGTAGAATGCAACGCGAGAGGGTGAAGGTGTCATTTCTAGTTTTAAATGAGGAAGAGGGTAAGGACATGAAGTTTGAGTTGATGTCGTCTAACGCAAGTAACCAAAGTGATGCTGTCGTTATCGCGAGCTGTAGTGATTGCAAGGCTGAAAGCTTCACGGTCAGCTATCTAAGACCCGTATATTATTGGCTATCAATGCAAGGCTGACTAACGCGTAAACATCGTACGTTGTGAGACACAGAAAGTGCAATGAAAAGTGGTGACATCATTGAAGCCATCGTGCTTCACTCCAACGACGATTTCCTTACTTCAGATAGTTCTCCTCTTCAATAGTCTGAGCTAAGTAATTGTCAAGATGGTTCTTGTAGAGAATTGGATGCCTCCCTCAAGGGAAAACTGGGAACTAATTGTTTGGGGATTTCAATGGTTTCCATTGGTTTGTAGCCTTTTTCTTTTCCAATCGTTATCTCATCTCTCTCTTTGTCTAGGGCTTATATTTCTCCTACCCCTTTCATCCAATGGCTTCCTCCGTTCTCTCATATCCCCAAATGACCCATGCTCACTTATAACCCATAGGTAACAATCATTCAATGGGTTCAACCATGGTACGGTGCAGGCAAGACCTCATCAAACAGTCGATTTAATCTTCCAGGAAAGCTGGGTTGGATTACGATGGAATTGCCTGGGCTGATGACTATGCTGTACATTATGTATACGTTGCCCAAGGAGGTGGGGTTGAATGCCTTGCCTTGGGAGAATAAGCTGATGGCGGGGCTTTACGTGAGTTTCTTTTCTTTTTTGGGGAGGGCTACAAAGGTGTTGGGAGAAGTGAGCTGGCAGAGGATAGTTCTTGGTCTGACGATCAAGTGACTGTGGCTTAGTGGGGGCGAAAGAGTTCGAAAGGGGGAGTTTAGCAGATGATGGACCAATGTATCGATTCAATGGCCATTAATTTGTGGAATTGAAAGGGCTCCTCTGTGGACGTGAGACCAGCTATTGAACTAGTGGCGGAATAAAGGTCGGCGCGGGCCTGAAAGAAGCAAATTGATGGATCTATGCTAACGATATGTAAAAAAATCAGACCATACATTACATCAATCGTGCTATTATTGGTCCTCTTATCTCTCCTTCTATGTCGCCTATACATTTTATAGTTTGGCTCGCGGCGGTTGCCTTTCAAGTTGTAAATGCTACATCACTGGGATGTTACTTTGCTGGCTATGGACCTCTTACGAGAGCTGATTGGTAATTTCTTCCTTTGTCCTGTCCACTCCCACATGGCCTTTTCATGGACAGATATATGTCATAAGTGCAGCATACGAGTGGCATGGCGCTTTCCTAGCGGTGCTAACCATTTCACCTATAGGAAACCTATATCGGGCAATCCATATGTGAATGGAGCACGGATCGAGTTAGGCATGATGATTTTCTTTCTCGGTCTCGTAGGCAACATATTTCATGACGATGAACTACGTGAAATCAGACGCGCGGCACTTCGAAAACAAGCAGCACAGAATGACCCTTCAACCGGAAAAAACAAAGGCAATACCAAAGTAGACAAAGTCTACATGATTCCTCAGAACGGTCTCTTCAACTATATTCTATATCCTCATTACTTCTGTGAGTGGATCGAATGGGCTGGTTTCTTCATAATGGCTGGAAGTGGTTGCGTGCCTGCAAGAAATTTTCTTATCAATGAGATAACTACGATGTTACCAAGAGCTTTACAAGGAAAAGCTTGGTATGTGAAGAGGTTTGGTAGAGAGAAGGTTGGGGCAAGAAAGGCTATAATACCGGGGATTTTGTGAGTCATGGAAGATGGATCGGATTGGTGGTGAGGATCGTTCACGAACACTCAAAGTTCTCCGGGGTTTCCAGACAGGTTCTAGAAAAGTTCTGGGCGGCTGTACTTTGATCACTGATTCTATTTTAATACTTTCTTAGAGTAAGTAGTGCATAGGGCAGAGACGGAAAAGGAAGGGTGAAGAGAAGATGGAGGTGAGTCCTCGTTGATCAGGACGAGAATAGAAACTGGGAAGAGAGAAGTGACCAAGCAAAAGAAAGTCTGAAAGCATAAAAAAGATTAAAAGTACGAGAAGCATAAGAACATACATTAATGTACATCATCCAAATGATATACCCCAAGATATCCCCTGATCATGGAAAGGCATTGACCAATGAAGGATGATTATGTTTAAGCGAGAATTTGAAACTCCACCTGCAGAGTCAGTTTTCCCGACATCTTCAATTGATGCATCACGACTCATTTTCAGCTCATTGCCACTTACTTGCACAGAAATAATTGCAATCTCCGTTGGAATCATTCCAAATCTCGATAGCAAATTTGAATAAGTGGCCAGAGGGTTCTCTATCATTATATGTTATTTCATTATCATATCAACGCATGAATTGAACTCGAAGGCATTGCATTGAGACCGTCCTAACTATCAAATTCCAATTTAAGCAGAACGATCTGCACAGACTTTCAAACGACGGTTTGTATCCGATTTCTGTTCCGATGTCATATCCTTCTCATTCTAGTCAAGATCGATAGATTCGATACCAACCATCCAAATTCTATTTCGAGCATTTTCCTTGCAATTCTTGTTCTACGGTTCTTCTACGGATGTTCGTCGTTGAATTCCGAAGTTTTGAGGGCTGATAAAGAACATGTTGTCCACGTGATGACAAGGTCCATCCATGTGTTCATGCGTTTCTCTATAATTCATCTCAAGTATTATCATAAGTTAAACCACCTTTTTTCCTGCCGTTTCAATATGGCTCAACGGGCTTTATATTATGAACTCTATGGAGAGTCTGGAGGATCTACGTCATTACGGCAGATGTGCGATGATTTTCCATGATTTTCCGAAATCATTCTTAAGGGTCCACGTTATCATGCATTGATGCACACATGGGCTTTCCTGTCAAGTTTTAACTTCTTCATTTGAGGAGCCAGCCACTTGGGATCCATCGTTTAGTATGATGGTTCTCCTTTGATATAGTTATTTGCTTTTTTCAATCACCGTGTTCAGCAAGACCCTTGATTGTGGACCTTGGGTAGAGATACTTTCGTACGCAGATGGCTAGATCGATGGGTATTGCAAGGAAAAGAAGAAATCATGTCTCCAAGGTTCAATGAGATCAAGATTCGATATACTTTTACGCGATGGTGCTTAGAATTGGGGAAAGTGGTGGGTGAAACGAGAATATATATCTCTTCAGGTCATCCGTTGAAGTTATTTTATCCCATCATACTTTACAACTCAATCATCAATCGTAATACATCAACTTCATACACACCCCTTATACTTTATATATTATTTATTACCAAATCAACCCATCATTACGGCTAAGCCACTGAGAAAGCGTCCCTTCTATATTCTACCCTATCACGATTTCCCTTCACCCCACTTAGACATTGACGCAGAGAGTCTCAAGTTAACAATGTCAGGAGAAGGCACAGACCTTCCAATATTCCAAAGTAGTAAAGCTATGGATGGAGATGTTATAAATCGTCCTGGTTCTTCGCAACAACAACTGGTACCAATTTCACACACTATATCGTCTCCTTCTAAGGCATATCAGAAGGATACAGCAATGTGGTCGCCTCCCCTTTCATCACATCCAATCATGTCACCACCAGACCTCACCCCACAACACCCTGTCTTCTCCTCTGAAGATCTTACAAGACCAGCTGCAGGCCTAAGAAGAAGACCATCAGTACCTCCACCAAGAAGATATTCCGGCGGCGATTACGACCCCAAGCTTAGTTTCACATCCGAGACAGGAAGAGCTCTTCGTGCTCGAGAAGATCTCTACTATAGCGATCGGGAGAGAGAGAATTCAATGTCATCCCGCACACGTGCTCGTGATGATCATCCTCATCCTGATTATAATGAACGGTCCCGTCCTCCACGTACATATCGCAATGTAGTAGGATGGGAAAGTGGTCCCCAGAAATCGTATTTCGATGATTCTTCGAGAAGTGATCTTGGCAAAGATCGAGACTTGGAAAAGGGAATGAGAGAAGCAGGACCTGAGTGGGCCAGTGGTGAGAGAGTTAGGAGAAAGAGTACAGATGAGAGTATCGATGGGTATAACTACGAATCGCACAAGAGGAGTGGAACGAAAGGAACGATTGATTTGAACAACTTGACACCAGAGGAAAGAGCTATGGTTATGAGGTTACCATGGACACAATGGATGAACAGTAATTTCAAGAATCGTAAGTCTTTCCATCCTCTTTTCCATTGTGCACATACTGACCACGGACAGACTTCGTAGCAACAATCGGTGAATTCGTCGGCACAACTATGTTTCTCTTCTTTGCTTTTGCCGGTACTCAAGTAGCCAATATCGACAGTAACACAGTGAACACTACCACAGGTGCTGCGACAGGTTTCAACATCGCAGTTCAGCTTTATATTGCAGTTATCTTCGGTTTCTCCCTCATGGTAAACGTTTGGATTTTCTTCCGTATTTCTGGTGGTCTCTTCAACCCCGCTGTAACCCTCGGTATGGTACTCGTTGGTGCCATTCCTATTCCCCGCGCTGTCTGTCTATTCTTCGCCCAAATCCTCGGTGGCATAGCTGCTAGTGGAATGGTTCTCGGTCTCTTCCCTACTACATTCAATGTACGAACTACGCTCGGTGCTGAAACATCTACCGTACAAGGTGTCTTTATCGAGGCAATTCTGACAGCTGAGTTGGTATTTACCATCTTCATGTTGGCGAAGGAGAAGCACAAGGCGACTTTCATTGCGCCAGTGGGTATTGGTCTAGCTTTGTTCATTGCCGAGATGGTCGGGGTCTATTATACAGGTGGAAGTTTGAACCCAGCGAGAAGCTTTGGTCCTTGTGTTGTTAGTGGATCTTTCGATAAGGAACATTGGATTTATTGTAAGTTTCTTCTGCTACTTTGACGCATCTTCTGTTCTTTTTACCCTTTCCTTCCCATGCATCCATATTCAATATCACTCATCTGTCTTCCTCTCTTGCCTACCTACATCCAATGAATTATCTGCCTTTCCCTCATCTCACCCCATCTCCAAACTTAAACTAACATTATCTACCAGGGATCGGACCAATAGTTGGAACAGCTATCGCAGTATTCTTCTATAAATTCATCAAGATGCTTGAATACGAAATGGCAAATCCAGGTCAAGATGGAGATGCAAAGAATGATCCTACACAAAATGAAAAGAAGCGAGAACAAATCTTGGAAGAGAGAAACAGGAGATATGAAAAGAGAAATGGAAGTTTGAGACCAGGAAGTCGGTTGAGTTAAACCTCCAAGGATCAAAAGAGGAAAACGAGGATAGGAATTGAGAAGTCGTTGGAGAGGTAATGAGGAGCGAGGAGTTCGATTGGATGTTGTCTTGTCTTGTTTCTCTGTTTTTGCCTTTGCGAATACTTGCTGCCCTTATATACCGATTACCTGCTTGCTCGAATGATTGCTTGCTTGTTTGTTTGCTTGCACTTTACACGGTACTTCATTTGCTTTGGCTTGGCTTATAGCTGGTGCGAAAAACATGAGATGGAGGAATTAATGAGTTACGACCTCGAGGGTTATTTGTATTTTATACCTAGCACTTTATTTAGAAGTTTGCACCAATGAATGATAATGACAATATATATCTATTACAATTACTTTACATTTCATACTGCGTATTACTATTATATGAATGGGGTAATCAATACTGTGATGTATGGAGATTAATGATCATCCTGCTCTTCAGATTTATCATGGGTTGAATCTCAATTTCTTGTTTCTGTTCGCAAGTGGATGGGCAGTTGCGATGAGGGATTTGAATGGTCTTCAGAGAAAGGAGAAAGGGATTGGTGTAAATGGAGAAGTCTTCTTGAGATCAATCCTAATTTACGAGAGTATTTGAGATTACATGAACTCGAAAATACTGTGCTAGCACATCGAAGCGACATGATATATCTTCAGACGAAGCAATAAGAGTACCTCCGATCTTTCAACATGAATTCCTTGCACCCTCCCTCCTCCCCTCCTTCCGATTGCCCCTCCACAGATATTCCGCTTCTCATTCACAAAGAGGGCGGTAATGGTAATAGTAAAATAACTCCAACACACCACGCTTCTACAGTCATTGCTTATGCCTCTTCTCGTAGAGGTCAAGGTCATCGATGCATAGATAGTCGCCATCTAAGCACGAATCAATCAAATGCAGAATAGGAAAGTGCAAGAGTCGCACGCGATGAGGGTGTTAGGCTTGCAACTCTTGGCTTGTGAGAGCATAAGCACAATGTTTATGCTGAGTAGGCATATTCTGGAACGATGTTTGTTCAATGATCTGGACTTCTAGACTTCTGTCCGATAATCAGGTGCTTTTGATATCTACAGAAAATTCAGTATCGAAATGTCACAATACAATACAAAGCAAAGCAAAGCAAACGTGCATCTCGCGATCACTACGAAAATGTTTTTCTTTTAAGGGTAGGGTATATTGGTTAATGAGTATAGTAGATTCTGTACCTTTCAAACCATGTGGGATTTAGTTTCTAGACTGCGGTTGTTGGAGTTTTGTTTTGGGGAGGAAGCAAGGAAGTAGTGGAGAGGAGATAGTATTCATACGGACGATTTAGTGGTGAGTAAGGTTGAGGTTGAGGATGAGGATTAGAGATCAGAGTATATTACGTTATATTATATCTACACCAGACGGACAAGAGAATTCAAATGTGTTGAGGTATTGAGAAAAAGCTGGATGGTAATGAGTATGTATATCGACTTGAATATATATAATCAAACAACCAGAATAGATTTTTAAATCAAGATGGACGTAGAGATTCAAACGGGATGAGTCTATAGTCTATATACTGATACCAATCCACGCATCAAACGGGTCGGGAATGAAACAGAATTAATGCTCAGTTGCTAATCAATACTTCTGTAGGTAGGTAGGTATGAGTTACGAGATAAGCCTACATACCTATCTACCTACCTATGTTTTACACAATAGGACAAAAGCCTCGGTAAATACCCGAGTATTTTCGATTACCATAATGATATCTTGCTGATATGAATTGAACATGATCCTCCTATCTCGCCGGGGAGTAAAGCCCAAGATTCACAGAACAGTTGATGTTAGATACCATTGGAACTGTACTGTAGATACGTATAGTATACAAGGTTCGCACCCATCCCAGTGTTCCAAGATTCTGATGTGGTGCATATAGATTTGAATGACAGACGTGCCTTATTGTTGGAATCGAGTTTGGGTTGTTGAAGATACATTGCTCTGGCTATTGAATATGAGCTCGCTAGATAATGGAATGAGAGATTCGTCATCCTGAATATCATAGAGCGAATAGAAACTTTATCCAACACAAACATGTGCGTGTAATGGAGTAAAGGTGATGTGATGTGGTGAGATGGGATGGGATAGAATGGATATCAGAGATTCTGGCATGTAATGCATTCGAGTCATCCTACTCGGTTCAGATTATTTTGCGAATGGTAGCTAACAAGAAAAGGCATGTGTGTATGTATTCTTCGCAAACGGAGAGGAACACTGACAAGTATATTCTGCCTCTGACACAACATTTAACATGTAGAAATTTTCTCGCATGTCTATCCCGCGTGAAGAAACACAAACTTTCATTTACAGCAATGCAGTAAAGATACGACATACAGAACATAGCAAGATTTATTTTGAAACCCCGATTTCAACAGCGGAAATACCGAGCATTCTGCAAAGGGCTGTCCCGCGTTGAAGAAATCAATGTTTCACATTCCCACATTCCGCCCCTTTTGGAAGCAGATGCACTGTACGAATTTGTGTATTTCGGCTCTTCGCATGATAGCTATATTGCTACCCAGTGTCTTATTCTCAGATATATGATGATGTGTTGATGCGTATGTATAATTTCGTGTTCAGATGTATCTTGGTCCCAAGCCACAGACACATGCATACGTTTCAGAGACAAGTAACGTACCTCACATTGAATATGCGCGCTTGATGAGGATAGAGTGAAATTGTTTCAGATAAGCCACACATACATACGTAAACCGAGAAATAACTTTATGTGACTCGTGGAAAGTAAAATTGTGAGATGGTGTGATGTACTAATCATGCATGACTAGTACAATTTGAAAGAGAGAGGAAGATAGAGGATTACTTTTTTTTGGCCTTACTTCCTTTCTGATAGACAAACTATTGACCAAAAGGAACAATCACATGATAATATCCCACAATTCGAATCCGAGATATATCACATTTCCATTGAGTTGATCCAAAAACCCCATCTGCTTGATTTCTGCATCTTCTTCTCAAGTTGGTTAGAGCTTCATTGATTGGCTATCCTTCATTTTGACTTATCGGAAAATGAGACATTGTCTTGGGCTGAATTTGAGCCATTTATCTTGAATGCTAGTTTAACATGTGAAGAAGCGCGAACGATTATGTAAAATGTATGACTGTGGCGTATGATGTGTGGTGGCTGCGTGAGAAAGGATGGCCCAAAGAATATGAATTTGGAACTTGGAACTTGGAAGTGAGGAGGAGAACGTGAATAAATGGGATGAATGAAGAATGACAAGAGCCCATGGGTGTTTGTGAGAGGGTAGGTTGGCTCGAATGATTGAAGAACGATAGGATGGGAGCGAATCAAGGGACACCAGGATATACATATCAAAAGGTTAGTGATGTCAAATATACAATCACATGATTTAATTCCCATTTCCTTTCTTCTCATTCCGTATTGATATACCGAAGTACCACAGAGTACTACTCCATACAAGATACAAAAGTAGTGTCACGCGTATATCATTACCTGGCTCTACTTGAGAGAAAAAAGAGGCCAAAATTGATGACGCTAATAAATTCTATAATAAATCGATTAACAATAAAATTACAAAAGTTAGTAGCATTGAATAAATCTTTAAATGATTTTCAATTATATAAATTATATAAACATTTAAAACTCTGAATGGAAATGGAACAATGGGATTATTGAAGGGCTTTGCCAGTGGTCAATTCCGGCCTGGTTTTTCTCCTACGCAGAGCCTGGTAACTACCAGAGCTCAAGGTCCAGCTTCGTAGAAACTACCTAGTACTACTATTACTACTACTACTACTACTACTACTACTACTACTACTACTACTACCCCATTTCACGTTTCACAATACCCCAGATTTCAGCACTGTTCTGTGCGTGCGTACATACATGACAAGAAATGCGAGTCAGTAATCCAGGAGATGAATTTCCCTTTCTGTAGGATCTCCAGGTTCATGCACATCTCGAATAGATGACCAACCGCTTCTCCCTTCTCTGAAAAGGTAAAAAAATAAAAATAAAAAAGCTTAAAAGGGTAAATATCAATGCCGTAACTCGGATCAGATATCTGAAATGCATTTCTTATATTCCATCACATCACATCGCATGGCATCACATTAACATAGCGGTATAAGTAATGAATGATGAAAGATGGATGAAGGTCAGGACTCCGAAATGCGGGGAAGAATCACAAGACTTTCGAGACCCTAGTTATGTATCTGAGCAAATAGTAGCGGGCCCTTGAAGACTTTAATAATATAATAACGATGTGATGGAGTTATGTTGTGTTGCACTTGCCCCGCATCAATATACTAGGTACACTTGGGTTTGGATCTAATTAGTCTGTCACTGGACGGATGGAAATGACTTGATAATCATATCAACGCCAATATCGATACCAACGCCAATACCAACATCAACATTAATATTAATCTCTCAGGAATAGGCGATTCCCTCGATCCAAAAACAGACAACTACAGAACGGGAAAACGATACAGCAAAACAGTCTCCTCCCATGCCCACATGCTATCAATCCCCCCCTTTGGGAAATCTCATCATCAGTGATACTCACCCAAACCTGCCAATCCCGTAACAGTGTTCCCACCTCCGATTTTCCGACGGGTTCCCGCGTATTCTGATACCTTTTGCAACCCGTAACGTGGACAATTGAGTGGTCTAAAATTCTCAAGATACTGTAGGTAGTTAAGTGGTCACTAATGCGGGATGTGGTGAAACCAGATTGCAAACGATTGGTATTTTGACGTTGATACCGCGTAGATAATACTATACATTTATTATGGGTGCTTTGCATGCCCAGATATCTTGCGCTCCGTGCTTCGCATGCTTTGTAGAAACCCATGTAAGTCTCTAAGGATGTGTGCTCGGCATGGTGACACAATATCGGAAGGATGAATTGAGGGATGCATTAACCATACGATCAAGCCTCCTTATCCCATCCAGACACCAGATATCAATGCAGCGTATACGCACAGATAATTAGGCGACCTGGAAATCTGTAATTCGATGTACGGTAGGAGTGTGTGGTATGATTCTTGGCTTTTAAGTGGAAAGGAATCCATGGAGACGGAGGTGTGGAGGGGGTGGAAATATGATGTGTCGTGTGGTATTTTTCCCTTTCCCTTTCCCTTTCGCTTTCGCGATTTCTTAATCTCGTTTGACATGTTAGAGTAGCTAATTAGTATTATGAGCTAGTTGTACGTATGTACGAAGTACTCCATGTGTGCATGCAGGATTAGATTCGGGAAGAAGCGGGTTGGGCTTGTGTTTAGGTGTGCT